CCCTCTGCAGACATTGACTACTCTTCCGAGATGTTCAACCGAGCGTTGATACTGCCTGAGGACATGCGCACGTTCATGACCGGTCAAACCCTCAAGGATCTCGGTTTGCCGTCACCAATACGCAGAGATGACCAAGCACTTGAGAGCGATGTTCTCCGAGAGAGGTCCTATGATGTCGATCAGCTGTCGAGATTTGTAGAGTCCATCAGACCCCTCCTCACGGAGGATCAAGAGTTAGCATACCGCGTTGTTCTGGACACGATTTCCAGTGGCAAGGGTGGGCTACTCTTTCTCGACGCTCCAGGCGGAACAGGGAAAACGTTCCTCATCAATCTCCTACTTGCCGAGATTCGCAGACAAGGAGGAATCACACTAGCAGTGGCATCCTCAGAAATTGCCTCAACACTGCTAAAAGGAGGCCGAACTGCTCATTCAGCCTTCAAGCTTCCTCTGGATATTGCTCATGTAGAGCACCCAGTGTGTGTGGGATAAGCAAAGGCACAGGGAAAGCCAAGGTGTTACAAGAAACCAATTTCATAGTTTGGGACGAATGCACCATGGCGCATAAGATCCTTGACAACACACTACGGGACATACGAAGAAGCAACAGGGTGATGGGTGGGGCCGTCGTGCTACTGGCAGGCGACTTTCGTCAAACTCTGCCAGTGATTCCGCGGTCGACTCCAGCAGATGAGCTGGACGCTTGCCTCAAAGCTTCTCATCTCTGGAGACATGTTCGATCGCTGAATCTCACGACGAACATGCGAGTCCACCTCCTTGGCGTTGAGACTGCCAGAAGCTTTGCGCAACAACTGTTGCTTCTTGGCGAAGGCAGAATTCCGGCTGAACCAAGTTCTGGCTGGATTACCTTTCCTCCAGACTTCTGCAATAGTTGTTGGTTCAATCGGTGGGAAAACTGATCGAAAAGGTCTTTCCAAACATTGCCACCAACTTCAGCAATGGGGAGTGGCTTTGCGAGCGAGCAATTCTGGCGCTCAAAAATGAGCAAGTGAATTCTATCAATGCTCAGATTCTAAACAGCCTACCTGAACCAGTAACAACGTACACATCCTTTGATACGATGGTCCAGAGTGAACAGGCTGTTCACTTCCCCAATGAGTTCTTGAATTCACTCGAGCATAATGGGATACCACCTCACAGACTTGATCTGAAGGTTGGTTTGCCAATCATGCTCCTTCGTAATATCAACCCACCGAAGATGTGCAGTGGTACAAGGCTTTGCATCAGGAGTCCATGCCGAACGTCATAGTAGCGACCATATTGGTGGGGAAGTTCAAGGGTGAAGATGTTCATATTCCACGAATCCCTTTGGTGAAACTCCCTGTTTTTCGCATGGTCAGCTGTAAGTGGCGTGTTCGAGGGTCGGGAGTCCGGCGAACTTCATATATGCGCCCGAAGGGAGCACCTAACGTAGTGATCCCAGGGCGCTAACATAATTGCATGCAGTGGTATAGTATAGTATTTATTTGTTGCATGCCATTCCATTTCAAAATCCAAAAAAATAAAAAAAGATAAAATCCAAAAAAATAATAAAATGAAACCCCAAAAAATGGTGGCCTGCGGCGGTCAGGGAAGGTGGGTGGGACAAACAAAGAAACTGAATAGATCCAGCTGAACTATCCTTCCTTACTGATGAGTTCCGGGAAAGCCTAGGACCTATTCAGCCAAACCGTTTAAGGGTAGGAAAGAAACGGTACAACTAAAAAGCCGAAGTTGTATCTCGGCTTTTTTACCCGAAGTGTATGAGGTGCCGGGCGGAGCCGGGTACGCCAGTTAGTCTAAATATAAATGCCAAAAAATACATTGTTTTGCACTTTGTTTACTCTATCCAACAGCAATCAAAGCTCTCAAAGTTAGATGAAAATGTTGAAAAGTAGATGAAGTAAGGTAAGTAAAAACCATGGGTTCAAGATTTTGACGACTATTAAACGATCACTGGAAGACTAACATCACTGCTAGACAGAGGAAGGGATTCTGCATAGAACATTGCTTAGAGGCAGCGTCCAGGCAAATCTGGACATATAGGGATCTCACGTGATTAGTAATTTTGGGACCCTAACTAAGCCACTGCCTAACCGGCAGCTCAGGCAATGCTCTAACGGCTGAGATATCCCCTCGAAACTGGACCCTAGGATCGTATTTCGCATGGATTCATGGCGCAACCCATCAGTTTCGCGTGGGCCCCCCTTTTTTGCCATTAAAGCACTTGTCTTTTTCGAACGATTTTGGGGTAGATTACATAAACTGTATGAACTTTCTAACCGATTCATGATCTATAAAAGAGGAGCAGTAATAAGATTGAGTAAGAAAGGTACATTGCTGTTCTATTCCACAGCACGTCTCGGTACTTTCCAGCTACTGCGAACTACAAGGCATAATTTAGTGTTTTCCACAGCGTCGCATTCCTGACATTTTCATTTACCCCCCCCCCCCCCCTCTCCCCTCCTGTCCCACTTCTATTAGGTTGTCCGGAAATTAATGCAGGTTTCTGCAAGTGCAATTTCAAAAGGATTGTTCTTCAGTATATGCGCATCTTTTGACCACTTTCGCGTACTATAAGAAACCCCTCTTCATGCTCTCTCTTATATGTATTACTTCTATGACCAACTTTATTTGTTCAAAGTCTACAACCATCCGAAGATGAAGCTTCAAATTACTAAATTTACCCTTTGCACTATTTTGGCTTGAACTTATTCGGCAAGAGGGATATTTTCATGATAATACGGTTGAAGCAAGATATTGAGTGAACCTACATGATAGATAGTAGCGCTTCCTTTGAACAATTGTGAAAGCAGAAAAATCGAGACTTTAACATGAACAACTGTCAAGGCCATTCCATGGCGTAGAAAACTTTTCTAAAGAAACCAGCGGTGAAAGTCTCTCCTCGTACTCGAAGATTGAGGCCAGTGCCGTTAGATATTATCTCAGCTGGTACCTCCCATGCTTTATTTTTGGTGAATTGATAAAAAAAAATCAAAATTATTGGAGATCGCAGCCGTGGAGAAAATATCGAAAAAATGGAAAATTTTGATTTTGCAATTTTTTCTTTTGCAGAAAATCCCTTGAAAAATTTCTGCATAGCTGTTTATGTAGCACTGGTCTATTGCTATAAGCTGCAGAAGTTTCTCGCTGAACACTCATATTCGGTAGGAGTTTAAAATTCGCCAAATATGACCTTGTTAAAAAAATCTCTTGCTACTTTCTAGCTTTCAGTAATTTGCTTGTTGAAACTACACGTATAAGTGAACATGAAGTAGATAGGAAAAGAGTTGCTGATCACAGTAGTTTTTTACATCATTTCAAAATATGCAATTTCGAAGGGTTACGACGCTTTGAAGTGAGAGTATGCAAAACCTGCATTGATTTCCGGACAATCTAATACCACCCGTCCCCACATCATTACACTCGGGTCAGCTTGCTTGGAACTAGCTATTGAGAGACCTTTTTGAACTAGTCACTTTGCGCTTGTACCAACAATTCGTTAGGGTGATCCAAAAGTAATGGGGCACCTAGAGAATAATTGCAGTTTTCTCAAATAGAAAAGCTAGTTGGAAGACCAGGTTTTGGCAGATGCTAGTACATAACAAAATCGTCTGATCGAGGTCTACGGTTGGGACTGTCACATGGCGTTATTTTTATAAGCGCTTAAAATTAAAGCTAATTACTCCAAGTAATTTTGAACTTTGAGCAGCAGCGCCGCAGTAGAACAAGTGAGCCTACCAAAGATATCTGCACAGCAATGGGTCACCAAATCCACGACAGTTGGATGGTCCCAAAACTTTAGAATATAAGAATATAGCATTGAGTATTAGGAGACATATCACTTATTCTTTCATCAAAGTAATCAAATAAGCTCAACCTTGACAGTTGCTCTCTGATAGTGCTTCTTACGCTCTATCCATACATATGCAAATTACTTCGACTTTTCTCAATTACAAATTTTACGAGCCAAAACATGAATTTTGGTCTGAAAATCTGCGCCAAATACCACTTTTTCGAATAAAGTGTCTTTTTGTATGAAGTAATGGGCAGTTTCTGTATAGATAATCATTAGAAAGAGCTTGGAAAGCTCTTCCGAATGGTATGTCATATGTCGAGGAACTTTCAGGTGCAGCAGCACAAATTCGGATGGCGTTCAAAAAAGTCTGTCTGACTTCTTGAAAGCTCCGCTCGAAGGAATGTCGGTGAGGTGCTGCAAAAAGCTGTCAGGGTAACCTGCGATGGTCATTTATACAAAAGCGTTCAAACTGCTGTTTGTTCATAGCTAATCAGAAAGAGATCTTGAGAACGTTTAAAAAATCAAGGTGCCCCATTACTTTTGGATCACCCTAATAATCGATGGATGGCTACTTCATTCCCTAGTGGCGAGCAGTGAAGGGCGTCCCCTCCCTTGCCGAGAATGGGCCGCGAAACCTTTAAAACTTACTCACACGAGTTATGGTGCATTCCCCAAAATTATTCTCACAATCAGATAAACCATCAACATGGCTGTCTTCTGATCATTTTAACATGTCAACTTCGAATAAGCGCCTTAAATTTGCTGTAGATAAGGTGATTAAACGATCGAAAGGCAGCGACGTTGATGGTTTATGTGGGAACAATTCTGCACGATATAAAAGTGTGCAAGTAACTTGTTTATACTTGTAGATAATTACAGTAATTTTTAACATCTATTAAAAGTTCAAATTAGCCTTGCAAATAGTTCAGGGCGTCACCGCCGCCACGCCCCCTTTCTGAATCTTGGAGTTGTAGGGTCGCAAGAAATTTGGGGAACATCCTAAAAAATCTCCCGAAAAGTGCGGCTAACACCATGTCCTTCCATTCTGAAGTAATTTTCGTCTTTCTCTCTCTCCTCCCCCTTCCCCCTCCGGGAATGAAATTCTGCGACTGCCACTGTGCAAATGAAAAGTTTACCAACTCCTTACGACGAAAACTTCACGAAAGACTCTCAACGTCGGTTGCACCATCTCACTTCTTAGATGACGTGGCATAATGAGCCCAGTTTTGCCACTACTGATCATTTCAGAAGTCTTGCTATCAATTCCGGCGGTATGCGCGCCGCCGCTGCTCTCACAATCACCTGGCTTATCAGCGGTAAGTTGATCTATCTGAATCGCATATCAAGATCCATGCAAGTACATTTTTGGTCAGAAATCTGAAAAGTGCTTTTTTTATCTTTCTTCGCATAGCCGGTCATAAGCAATGAAATAGGGGTACAGCTGCAGACGCCGTGCAGCTTCGTCTAGAAAAATTCCGGGAAACGATTTTTTGAGAATTTGACAGTGCGTGTATAGTCGAGCTCTTCTATATTACAAGGGAACCGTGTCGAGTCGAAGTGGCCTTTCCAGATGAGACCCATACTGCTTTGAAGAGTATTAAGCGGTAATTCCAAATCTGCCTTCCAAATCTGCCAAGCGCCTCTGGACGCCGAGTTATGACCGTTCTTCGGGACAAAAAATGAATGCAGAATTTAGGTAAAATTGATTGTTACAATCTTTCCAGCGCTCAGATAAAGCAGTGTTAAGTATTAGCATATTAAAGAAAATGTATTCATTGCATAAACAGCTCTGATATTTGACACTGGACCATTTGAGCAAATTTGGGCGATTTTGCTTCAGTTTTGCGTTCAGTTTTTCGACCTGAAAAACGAGCATAACTCGGCATCCAGAGACGCTTGGCAGATTTGGAAAGCAGATTTGGAATCACCAATTAATGCTCTTCAAAGCAGTATGGGTCAAATCTGGAAAGGCCATCGACTCAACATGGTTCCCTTGTTAGTTTGTGCATTGCACACCACGCGCAGCACTTTACGACTTGTCCCAACGTGGTACGACGACTAGTATGTATTTGCTTTATTACCTTTTCAAGCGTGATTGGGTGCACAAAGGTGTGAGTAGACATTTTCATCATGTAAAAAGCCGTGTTCAAAGACTTTCCCCCAACCCTGTACTTTTCTAAGCAAACCTATGGGGCAAAGTCGGGCAAAGTCTTAACCATTCACATAGAATTCACCTACTCGTATCAACATTTGCCTACATTCTGGTTAAGTAATCCGCAAAATGCTGCAGCTTTTCAAAATTTGAATGAGATTTCCTACAGGCTAAACAGCGAAAACGAATATTGAATTCACTTTTCCATATGGCTATCGCAATTATTTGATTTCAGCAAATGTTCATAGCGTCGTCAGCACCCGGTTTGCAGGCAATGAAGAAATTCATGATGAAGGGTGAGTCATAACTCAAAACAAATTGAAACGATATCGTTCACTAGGTGTTACATTGATAGTTTAAGATTAAAACATCAAGGACATTCGAATCTACTGCGATGAACACAAAACAATATGTTTCTCCCCGTTCTAACAGTATGAAGAAGCGTCATATTGGTTCACCAAAACGCAGCATCCCAGGCAAAATCTAACAAGGAATGCGTGTTTAGTCGAAGTGGCCTTTCTAGATGGGACGTATACCATATTGAAGGGCATAAATTGCTGATTCCAAATATGCCTTCCCTATCTGCAGAGCATTTATGGATGAGGAGTTATGAGCGCTTATTAAGGCAAAAAATTGAATGTGCAAGTGGACAAAAATAGCCATAATATTTTTTGTAGCTCTTTAATGGAGCCGTGATAATTATCAGAGCACCTTATTTAAAAAATACTCTCAACTAAAAAATACATCAAATTTGATTGCATTATTTGAGGGCTGATAAGGTTTTATTTATTTATTTATTTATTTTGTACGCTCGTAAGCGTGCTGTATGTTGAATAGGGAAAAGGCAATTACAAGACGAACATCAGGCACAGAGAATACAAAGAAGTTTAAATATAGGTTATGTACACAGAAATATATGAATGCTAGAAAGGGACTTTAGAAGACATATTTCCGAGTAGAGATCCCGTTAAGAATTTCTGCAGTAACAATCCATCCTAGTCCGCCAACGGAAATGACCATAACAAGGCAGCGCGAGCACCCCGAGGGCCCGACAAACGGCTGCACCGGCAGCCCCCGCCAGCATAACCAAAAGGGTGCACTGGCAGGGGGCCGCCAGTTCAACTGCTGGTCAAACCCTCAGTGCGCACGCACCACCCAGCCATGACCCTCGCCGGTGAAGAAGAGCAGATTGATGAGTAGGGTAAGGAAATTTAACAGAATTTTATCAGAATCGTTACCCAGATATGCCTTTTAGAGCCCGCTAATTCAACTGGAATGAAAAGTACATGAGTGAATTTATATTTAAAGAGGTAACATGGAAAGACAACTAAACTACAAAGGAGGAAGCAAACATGGGTAGGAGTGATGCACAAGCAGCCAAAGAAAAAAGAAAATCTGAATTACTATTCAACATCTGGAATTTGTAGTAAACCAAGAACATCAATTCTGGAAATAGCTTTTTTGAACTGGAACGAATTTTTGAGAGCTAATAAAGAGGGCGGTAGACATTCGAGCCATTTGGCAGTCCTTGAGATAAAAGTATTCAGTCGGCGAGTACGATTCGAGGTAGGTAGCTTGGAAAATCGAGAAGCGATAGAACCATGACGACCATAGACAGGGCGAAAAGTCCAAAATTTGAAAGGCTTCAAACGCAGCTCTCCTCTAAATATCTTGAATGCTAAAATCATATCATTTTGAATTCTTCTATAATACAGACTTTGGAAATTTAGTTTTTCCAGACGATTTTTATAGGAAGGCAAAGTTTGAGGACAATGAGAATCTCGAAAATCACGGTAGTATAAAACTCTAGTGAATACCCTCTGGACGTTTTCAATTTTATTGATTCCCTTCTTGCGAAAAGGGTTGCAGACGGGGCTACAGTATTCAACTAGTGGAAGTATAGACATTTTGTATAGTTTGACCCAAAGAGATACATCAGAGCTGTAAACGTCTCTAAAAGACAGTACAATAACCTCAGACTTTTCTCAACTAGAGTTCCAATATGATTTTCGAATCTAAGTCCATTGGTGATTAGAACTCCGAGGTCACGCACTCTATTGACAACAGTCATAGATCGTAGTTCATCGTCATAGATACTCGAAGAATTAGGTCCTATTGGGAACAGGTAGCTTTTTCTAAAATATACTTTGAGGTGCCAGAGCTTGGTCCATTCGAACATTTTTTCAACAGACTTATTTAGAGCTGTGCTGTTTGGACCTCTTCTTTCTCATTTTCATTATAGATTGCTGTTACCTTAGCGTCGTCAGCATAAGCATACACAAAAATTCTCGTATCCGTTTCAAGAAGACAGGTAAATCATATGTATAAATGAGAAAAAGAATAGGAGAGAGTACACCCCCTTGAGGCACACCTGAAGGGCATTCTCTGGGAAAGGAGAAGTCCCGAGAAAAGCGTACAACTATCTTTCTATCATGCAGATAAGATCGAAACCAGTCCAGCAAGTTACCTTCTATGCCTATGCTATGTCTTGCTAGTAGATTTTTATGGCAGACGCTATCAAAAGCTTTACTGAGGTCGAAGTATACCACATCTACTGCTTTACCTTGACTTGATGTATCATTCCAAAGAAGCGTGCAATCTATTAGCTGAGAACAGGTTGATGAGCCTGATAGGAAGCCAAACTGCTCATCGAGGATGATCTTAATATTTTCAATCCAATCAAGTAGATATTTTTTCATAATTTTTTCTAGAACTTTCAAGGGTGTTGGAAGAATGCTGATAGGACGAGATTTGAGATTGGGTCACTATCTTTTCCTTTTGGAATGGAAGTCATTACTGCAGCTTTCCAAGCAAAAGGAATTTGACCTGTCATCAGAGAGATGTTGAAAATGTGTGTGAGAGGCGATAAAAGATGTTTTGCAAAGTTTATAGAACATCTGTGGTATTCCTTCAGACGTAACGGATTGTGATGGTTTCAGTTTTTTGAGAAATTTGTAGACAATATCACACGTGATTATTGATAGTTCAAGTTTCTGTTAAGTAATTTTTGGCAAGTTTACAAAAGATTCGTCACAATAATTAGTGAACGTTCTCTGGAAGAAATTTGCGAAGGCTTCTGCTTTCTCAAAACCTGTGCTACATTTTGATCCATCATCCGCAACAAGCGCTGGTAGAGCAGGTGAACTTTTAGTTTTGCATTTGATAAAAGACATTATTTCCTTCATATGTTTACTGCTCGCCAACTTAGACCTTGTAAGACATATATTTCTCCAGATGGTGATCAAGTTTTTGGGTGATATCTGCGTACCGTGCATTGTGCGTAGGATCACGAGTGTTGTTGAAAAGTCGTTGTCGTTGTTCGAAATGGTTGCGGATATGGGTCGGATATTGGAAAAGACTAAGCTGTTCGGCGTTTTTGAAGGAAACATACTGTTTGATGATATCGTGCATGACGTAAAGAAAGCGACTATAAACGTCAATAATATTGCTGAAGTTTCCGAAAATCTCAAACCAGTTCAAAGAGGATAACAAACATTTGATTTTATTCGACTTTGGCATGCTTAAAGTCGAAAGAGTGAATGGTTTGGGTGTCTTGGCTAGGTACTGCAATGGAGAAACCCACAATATTATGGTCAGAAGTACTTAGCGGGGGAGAAGCAAGAAAACCTTTGACAATTTCAGCATTCGATAATACTAGGTTTAGTATATGTTCACCTCTAGTGGGGAATTTGACCCATTGAGTCATGGATAAAGCATCAAATTTCTCCCCAATGTAGTTAGATGCGGTTCTATGAATCCAGTCAATACGGAGGTTCAGATCTCCGACAGTCTTGATTTTTTGAGAGGAAACGAGGTCAGAAATCAAAGTCAGAATAAGCTCGTCCTGCTTACCACCGACCTGTGGTGGTCGATAGATCAAAATGAATCTGAATCTATCAGCACAGGTCTGTAAGATCAAGACCTTATAATAACGGGCTAAGGGTTGTTTACGTGTTTTTGTGTGTGTGTGTGTGTGTCCGTCTGTTACGAAATTCGTAGAGCGTGTTCCAGCCAGCGTTTTAAGCCCAAATTTTGCATAGCGCATGCTACCTTCATGAAAGTTCAACGTGCAAAAGCACGAATAGATTCGTTGAATGGGTCCCTCAGAAATTGCGCGCCAAACGGATCCACCTGGCTTCTGTCCCGCAAAATTGGGTCCATATCACCACTTTTTGCAAAGTCCTGGATGTGTTTGGTAAGCAAATGTGCAAGCGATGGACTTTAGCCCAAAAAGTGGTCAAAAGTTTGCTACATAACGAAAACGGCGCCAGAAAGAGTTGGTTGCGTAATGGTTAATTTGCTAAGGTTCTAGCTAAGCGTTTCAAAAGATTTTCGCACGGAGATGTAGCTCACGGTTACTATTGCCTTTAAGGGGACTACCAAGCCATGACAACTTCAAAAACCTATTCAAATTTGCGTTTGTCTTCCTACGAAAAGTTTCATCCACGCGAAATCACCGATCTCACGTGAAAAAACTTTCTGAATGAGTAGCTGTTTACATTTAATTCGTGGTAGTCGGCATAGTGCGGTAAGTTCCATTGCCACGATTTTACGAGAATGAGTAAGGCACATAGATAGTAGAGCCAGTGCGAGCCTCTGCGAAGCAGGGGTGACGCACTGGTAACATTAAAACAAAGAACGTCCGCTTTGAGTCCCCTCTTTTTGAAAGTGACTTCCTCAAATAGAATGCTGCTATGGATAAACGCACAGACTCCTCCACCTTTTCTACTTTTGCGGTCTTTTCTAAGCAAAATATAAGGAGGATTACCGCAGATTTCACCGTTAGTTATGTGCGAATTCAACCAAGTTTTAGTGATCATCAAAAGGGCAGGTTTGAAAGTAGACAACAAATGTTGAAGATGCGTGATTTTGTTTTTAAGGCTGCGTGCATTCAAAAGAAAACAGTTTTTTGAAAACATCAATAAGCTTTTCAGTTTTTTGACAGGAAGTTTTTTGATGCGCCGTTTTTCTGTGGAATATCGGCAGCTTTGACAATCTCTCCTTTATATACAACAAAAATTCGTTTACTTTCTTTTTGATTCATTTCAAGTGCGGTTGAGCGCAGATCTCTATCACGCGCTCTTTCTTCTGCAGTCATCGATTTTCGGAGATAAACATTTTTATATGGCATAATATTTCTGAGGCGACGAGATCTTAAAAGCAGTTCTGTGCATAAATACTTGCTGGAAAAAACACATTTGACTAATCTTGGTTTACCCTCCTTCCCCCTCCCCATTCTGAAAACTTCTGCTGGCCGCGCTTCAACATCCAAATCATTGAGCATACCGAGTACGAATTTCTCAGTATGTTCCCCTCGACACTGCGGGCAAAGCGGAGTCAGCTTCAGGCACGCCGAAGATGACCACAGATCGTTCACGCTTTTCTTTCTCACTAGCGTCGAGGACAAACTCGGTAACTTACTGACCAGTTCTTCAAGCAATGGAATTGCTTCGAGGCTTTCTTGCTGATGATTGAATGAATGCGATCGAGTGGCTGAATAGCGTCTTCGTCCATAAGTGGACTGGCATTGGACGCAAGTGGGGAAGTCGGTTTCTTCTTTCTAGGAAGTTGTGACAGTGAGGTCCACATAGAGGGAAAATGAAGGCAACCACTCGGAATGACCACAGGCAGAATGAATGAATGAAAATTGAATTGACTAATCTTGGTTTACCCTCCTTCGCCCTCCCCATTCTGAAAACTTCTGCTGGCCGCGCTTCAACATCCAAATCATTGAGCATACCGAGTATGAATTTCTCAGTATGTTCCTGCCTCGACACTGCAGGCAAAGCGGAGTGTAGAGGCAGGAACATACTGAGAAAAAAAATGAATTGCTAAAATGAATTTTAGCAATTCTTTTTCTAAAATGCACACTCAGTTTTTGGCTTAAAAAATGTCCATGACTTCCCATGCATAAACGCTTTGCAGTTAGGGAAGGCAGATTTGGAATCAGCGTTTTATGTCCTGTAACATGGTTTGCATTTCATTCAGAAAGGTCACTTCGACTAAAAAGCTCCCCTTGTAAGTCCCTCTGTTGCTACCTAACCTGAACGTGAGTCCCAGGAGATATCTGGGTTGGTCCGATCCTCCAATATTGTCTCTGAAAGGAGATATTGGACCATAGCCCAGGTGCTGTCAAGTCACGCTCACCCTATCAGTTCGCTCATCCAAGCACTGGAAATCGGCTACGCCTTCAGAATAGGGTTCTCAGAGATCGGGTTTTTTGTTGAAAGGGAGCACAATTTGCACATCATAACTCCAGAATGGCAAAAAATAGCGAAATTTTGCGAGCACGCTACCCCAAAATTTTGGGGCTAGCCAGTTTCGTACTCCACATCCAAAAATCGAAAATTTATAGTTATTAGAATTTTTGAATACTTCAAAACAATAAAAATTTCAAAGATTTGCATAAAATTTTTATTAGCTAATTTTAGGCATATCAAGCAACATCTACAAGACAAGATCGAGGTAGAAAAGATGACAGAGGAACAAAAACGGTAAGTCACTTATTGCATGAAGATTCACGCAGAACAGCATTGTTGAACTGTGATAGTGGGAGTTAAAGAACGATTATCAAGAGTCCTGTATGGATGCTGTTGATATCCCTAGTCTACTCCCTTATACGAGTCTCTAGTGTAGTGTAGACTTGTATCCGTCAAACCATTGTAGAACTTTTCATTTCAGATTTCCATTCAAACAGGTTTAGTTGCAGCCAGAGACTACATAGCTTGCTAGTTTTCTCTCCTCTTCCTACCCTACCCCACCCCCTCCCCTTACTCTCAGTATTATTGAAGTCTAGTGAATTTTGTCGAAAATTTTTTACAGGTTTTACTATTTCTCCATGAATGATTTGGACCATGATAATAGAATTGATGGCACGGAGATAGTAAAAGCTTTGACACATACACACGAAGGGGAAACAGGTACGCCTTTGTTTGAGAAAATCCTTCTAATTTTTGCACGTTCCTGAGTTTTCTGAAAATTTTGAACATTGAATAATCAGTGAAGACGCGAATTCAGTATAGGGCATTTGAAAAATTGTGACAATGGCGCGACCGCGCGCGACACGCAGGCCACATTCGGACGCATTTTCTTGGTCTTTACCTCTAGTCGAATGGTTTTTCTGCTTACGTATGATAGTATCTGGACACTGGAGGTGATTGAGCTGAGCGTTGAGGTGGTGAGGTGGTGTCTTTTTGTATGAGCGTTTTATGCTTCTATGGGCATAATGTCCCCAGTCAAGTCCTCGTCACGATTATATAAATGACTTATAGGTTATTGCTTACTGCAGATACGTATTCTGCACAGTTTCACATGGTTTCAACAGCATTTATCAAATTTTCAGACGCAAACTAACTTTAGCATCAAGCTATTTTTATTTTATTTTTTATTTTATTTTATTTTGTGCATTCATAGATGCTCCTGACGAACGTGGTTAGTGCAAAAAAAAGCAAAAACAGAACAACAAATAGCCAATCATAGACGGTGTCTCCAGCAGCCACAGTGGATCCAAATTTAGAAGACAGCAAGCTTAGCCCACTAATTCAACAGCATAAATCATGGTGTGAAAGCCATAAGTGAATCACTTTCAAGCGAATCTAAAGAGGAAGCACCAAAGCGAATGGGCGAATCCATGCGTGCTTGGCGGAGGACCTCTTTCAGCTCCCTCTTACATCGCTACCATGAGAAACAAATAAAAGTTGAATAAAATGGGATGGCTTGGAAGAATATTGTGTAAGATCCAAAGTTGCTTCTAAGCAAAATTGACTACCAAAGACGAAACTAGGATAAGTGTTAGTACAACAATCATAACGTTCAAAGATTCAAGGCTCAAAACGCTATAAAAGTCAGCACTTGGAGAGAAATTCTATTCATTCTCAGATTGTCTCAGTAGGAAGTATAAGTCAATTGCATTGATTTTACGCTTAAAGGCAGTGGACGGGCAGATTTCCACCCTTCGTTTTTCTGCATTATTTGGGCTATTTTGACCCCCCAAATCACTATATGTAGTCCGCCTGGCATAAATTTGACGAAAACCCCGTTTTTGATGACCCCCTCCTTGCGATACGGGGACGAGATAGCGGCCTGTGTCTGCCGTCAGAGACGCAGAGTGTACAGATTGTAGTTTGGTATGACGTAGCAATATATTCGGTTTGAAATGTGTCTTTGTCATCATTTCTTCTACATTCTTTTCGCTGTTGATAGATTGAGGTGAAGTTGATTACAATCTATGCATATTTTCAGGATACCTAACATCCCGGTGGAGTTCATCGTCTAATGGGCAATAAATCACATCTAAAAATGAGAAGCAGTGACGAATCTTTGTTTGAAGGTAGGTCTGCATGGAAATGGCAAATATCTGAGCTTCAAGTTGATTTGAAGTATGAATGTTTTCTTTCCATGTTGACTCCCACACTCTTCCTTTCGGAGATTTGATGGATTTCGTTTTTGTCAGCGGTTTTCCCACTTGTGATACACAGAATAGTCGTCTTTTACGTACTTATCGTTCATTCTAATAAGAATAATAGGCCCGAAAGACAAGGCTAATCTATAGACAAAAACTTGTTTATTCCTCAGTTTGGATATTCCATCTCAGACAAAAGAACTCATAAGTTCAGCTTGTAGGAACAGCATAATGAAAGTATTTTCCAGTACCTGCACTTTGAATGGGTTATGACTGAGACTGAGACGCTCATTTCTCCGTCGGTTTTGCGGAAATCGGTCGACTCTAGTTTTTCACAGCTAATATGTTGGAGATCACTCGCAAATTTTACATTTTCAGTAAGGCTACAAATGGAAGTGAGTTTGTCTTGTGCATATATCGTTACAGTAACCATATGCCAGCTGTTTTAGTAAACAATGCTGCGAAACTAGTAGGACGCGTAAGCATGGTCGAAGAGAAAGTTCTTTTTTTTTGCTACGTTATTTTTGTCTAGGTAGGTTTCTTGCTTTTTGTTCTTCGTTTTTCTTTTGCTGGCCAACAACATGATTGCAGTCTCCCACCACAATGACGAGCCAACTTGACGTCCTGTGTATGTAGAGAGACGTGTCGAATGGTCCGGAATTTTTCAATGTGCATGTAACGAAGCTGTCGATGTTGCTCATTCATACGTGCAAATTGCTGTTCTTCTGTCTTTTCCTGTTTTCTGCAAAGGACGTTGTTCTCATCCCCTTTTTTGTTTTTCGTGAATATGCTCAATCGCCTGTGCAAATTACCGTCCTTCTGCCCTCATAACTATGTACTTTGAAAAGGACATTGTTCTCATCCATCTTTGTTTTTCGCGATTAGTATGTGTAACTGTCATTTGCTATCATTGTAACTTTCATTACCACCCCAATATGTTGCTGCTCGTATTACGTTCAGTTCTTACTGCAGTTTTTGATGGCAGTGCTCAGAAATTTTGATAAATGTGAGAAGTGTCGCCCTAATCTCGCCAAGAAAGTGCTCGTTATTAGGAATTCGTTTTGTTACAGACTAGCTATGCTGTGTGAACGCTAACAATCATGGACCTGACGCTAGCAGCCATGGACTTACACGAAAAAAAGTGAGTGTCTTCATTAGTTTTCTTTGCTTTTATTACACTTACATTTTTTTTTCATTTACATATATGTTGCCACTTTTTTTACTTCTGTTTCCCTTCTCTTTTATATGTGCATCTCTTCTCTTCCCCGTCTACTCTGGTGTCTCATCCGCCGGCTCAGTCTCTTCAGGATCTCTCCCCATGCGTGAACGGCGAGTGACGAACGAAATGAAGATTTCTTTCCTCCATAAATGTTCCACAGGGGTTTTGTGCCGGAGCTCAGTGTCATACTCGTTGAACTTCCGACGGATTCTGTCGCGCCTTTCAACTACCCTTTCCCCTTTCAACTCTGCCTCTGTCAACGCGTTTAGATGCATAGTCGACATCGACACATAGAGGTAGTAGGTTTGCGGCGGTCTGAAAAGGAGGTTGAATCGGTCCTACTTGTTATCATAGAAACAGTACAGGCCTACTTACAGGAAAAGATCCTTTGGGCAGTATAATCTGTCCAAAGCGTTCTTGGTCTCGCACTGGCTAGTTCCACTCAGAGAACTAGCCAGTGCGATATCCTTTTGGAAGACCCGGTTGAGTAGAATCTCGCGCAGTTTTTCGTGGGCTGGGCTTCCCAAGGGTATTGTGGGCTTCCTATCTTCTTCATCAACTTCAAGCGCGTCGTGGGAACATCTCCTAATGGGCCCGGTGATGTCAGCCTATAATAAATTTTTATGCGGTGTTGGATGACGTATAGTGTTACCTCATCCCATTCGTGTTTGTCGGCCACGTGATTTAGGCAAGTATTGAACAAGTACTTTGCGTAGTTGCCATCACCAGCAAGCGCTCCTTGTTCAACGGCATAATATAAGTGTTTTTTGATGGCTCTTATCCAGTCCTTGATCACCATGTAGACCCTTCTCTTCGCAACCTTGATTCGATGATTGGTTTTTGTCGACAGATCCCGGTTGCTTACCGCGTGAAGATTTTTGTCAAGGTATCTGGCCAGATGCCACCTATCCAGCTTCCACTCGATGGTCTCCCCATATTCTTTGTTGTACGACTTGATCTCCTTCCCAAACACTGCGCTGCGGTCGGTTGCTACCGAACGGATGGGTATTTCCCTTGACTTGAACCACCGCAGCATTCTGCGGAAGCCCTCCTTTTCCATTCTTTGACTGATGTTATCTGCAAAAGAGAACTCGGGAATGACTGTGTCGGCTTTTCTACCTACCTGTCTCTGAGCGTTCTAGGACTTCCGTGTGTATGCAGAGTTTGGTCCTGAGATCCACAGCCAGTACCTTGCAAAGCTCTGCACTGTGGCCTCTCGAATCATACGCGCCGTCTACGGCGATATCCCACGGATCGTTCTGAGTTAGTTTTAAAAGATTTCAATTATTTTTCTTGTTGTTTTCACACCTGGTAGACCGCCCTTATCTCATCAATGATGCGGTTCTGGTGCCTTTCGTAGACGGCCTCGATGCACGGCGTTACTTCTTCAAACCGTTCTTTGTACGTGGACATAGATGGTAGGACTAGCCCCATTTCTGAAGCCCACTGCCGCAACTTCTGAAATTTTTGTTTAGAGTTGAGGCGACCGGGAAATGGTATCTTTTTTACATTCATGCGGACTCCCGTAGTTGTAGCCGCGATACACGCCAACGCGTTGCCGGTGTAGAGCTTGTCGACACGACGTGGGCTGATCTTTTCCTGCCCTTCCCATCTCTTGATTTGTGGCTTTATGCCCTTGGTGACGTATTGAATGATGGGAGTGGAACCGTTATTCGACAGGCGAACCCCGGTTTCACTAATCTCACAGTCGCATCGAGTGAGGAAGAACAGCTCTAGGAGCTTCCTTCCTTGCACCACGAAGTACTTATCCAGCAGCTCCAAATCGGTTTCTTTGAGAAGCTGATCTTCACTCTCGTATCCGGACAGTTTTTGTGGTGTGAAACAGGAGCCGCTCTGAAACACCAATCTACTCATTTCTTCCATCTTGGCCTGTGAACGAGACGATCTTGGGTTTATTTGCGCTAACCGATGCTTTTTGAGGAGATGTGGAAGTTGTCTGTTTGGACGGTGTGTTGTTGCCTTCACCAGCGATGGGCGCTGTGTTGGTATCCATTTGCACATTCTCAACTACTGCACTGCTTCTTGGCTCCACCGCTCTCTAAACATTCATTTATGTGCTTGTCGTCTTATTTGACGGGACGCTTTGTGTAGCTGCTTTTTCATTTTTCCTTTATAATTTCGTGCTAATTTTCGCCTGACTTTTCGTCAGCATGATAATTAGCATTTTTGGGCTTTGCTACTTCGAAAGTGTGCATCACACAAAGCGCGCTCGAGTGGTGGCGGTTGCATATGTTGCATTTACCCACTTGCACTTCGGTCTGCTCTTCGTCTGCTTCGAATCCTTGCAGGTTGTTCCACCTACCCTCCTTGCTATAGTATCTTTTCATGTAGAAATTTACATACTTTCCTACATCCGGGGCGGCAATAGTAATGTTATCCTGGCAATTTTCATATGAATAACTGGAAACATGAACGATTCCAAAACTAACTTCTCTTGCAATTGTTCTGATTGCGGTGTTCAAGCTGCTTGGAATCTGCGCAGGAATGTCTCCGTCATTGACGTAAGCGATACCTTCGGCCGTTTTTGACAAACCTCCACCGCTTACAACAATCTCTGCTAAGAGATATTGTGCCTACATGATAGAGAATTAGTTTGTCACTGATTTGCGGAGCTGCACTCACAGTATTAACGAAGTGACTGATGCATACATATCTTCTTTTGATGTCAAAACCTTCATAACAGTTCCTTAGTACTTCTTGCGTGGTCGATGTGAAAAGCTTGAGCAGAGAAAGGAAAATTCTGTTATGCACTTTGACATGTGACGTGCGTGTCGCAAAACAGGTCTTGATTCTACTTCCACAAAGGAAGCAAAGACACGTATTCGCCTTTACCATAGTTGAAACTTGTAGCCTGAAGTTTCTTACATTCTCAGCTTGTACAACTTTTCTATTTCGAAATATCACGCCAAAGTCTGGAAATCATCACCGTACAATTAATAAATTTGAAGTATTTATATATTTTTATTTCTGCTGTGATTGGTTTGGAGATGTGATTTATCTATCTCGCTTGTTTTCAGAAGGCTTCCGATCTTGGAGAGGTTGGCGTCAGCTGTAGAACGTTCCCTGGAATGCGCTCCTCATTGTTTTCATCGTTTTCGTCATGTCAGTCTCAATCATTGTTGCTATCCATTTTCCGCAAGCAATTCGACCCTATCGTTTTTCGTAACCTCGAATGTCATACTTTATTCCACACGCTGTTTTAAGACTTGGCTGTTGACTTATCATGTTGTGCTACGTTTACAATGTTCATCCCATGTCTAATTCGCATTTGACAACTACCGTAGATGAGCCCCGGTGCACCGGGCATGTCGTTATCTTTTGTCTTTGTCTTTGATAAACGCATAATTGGCAATCACTTTATTTTGTAACCTTAAATTTTCCACAACAGAACAGTGAAAAAAGTTCGTAGCAACTGCGAATCTTCGGGATGCCATAACATGCACAATTATTTTTGATTCAACTGGCCGCATCAAAAAACATGGCGAAGTAAATGAGGTTGCTGAGCATCAAAAGAAACGGTCGAATAAATAGAAGCAACAACGTAGAAGAGAAAGAACTTTGAAGGCATGCCAAAGAGAAAACAGAAATGTAGTAAACAATAGAACATGCGTATCAACCAAATATTTGAGCGATCCATATATAAGGCGATCGATTCGGATAAGCAGCAATGGGTTCGACTGCCATTTCTACTTGCGAGGAAACCCTAAAAACAAAATCTAAGGGCTTATTAAACCCGAGCGAACACTGATGTGATAACTTACTGTCAAAAATTTGAGCGAAAGGTCTGCCAACAAGAGTTCATGTGACTGTGAACAAGAAAGAGCCCTTCTTCTCCTTCTAGCATAATGTGAACACCTAAAAACAAAAAATCTAAGCCTTTGGTTAATTCTAATTGGTGTGAGAGTATTAGCAGACAAATGTGAAATAGACTCACTGTGCCCAGGCCTGTAATTTCCACTTTATTCCTCCTTATTCGAACTTCAGGCTTCTTGCGGGGAAGCGACAACATTGACGAATTTGCAATAGCAACAATAACCTGAAACATTCATTATAATTACATTTGTGGTTTACAATTGAGTACCTCGTATTCACTTAATTTAACAAACACAAACGAACAAACAAACAAACACATAGAGACACACACACACATACACATACACATACATTACACAAACACATACACAAACACATACACATACACAAACACATACACATACACATACACATACACATGCACATACACATACACATACACATACACATACACAAACACATACACAAACACATACACAAACACATGCACATACACATACACAAACACATACACATAAACACACAAATTAGATTATAAATGCTTACTATAGATGAACACAATCTCACATTAGAACATACAGCAACATAAAATAGAAAACCACACACATAATGATTGAAGACAACCTATACTACAATAGAAGTAAGGCGAAACAGCCATAATGCACCCATCATATCACAACTAACTATTTATTACCTTGTAAATATTGCACGAAGGAACACGATTTACATATATGCGAGTGAGCAGGGAGAGGGGGTCCATACAAACTACAGGCAGGACGAGAACACTAAATACAAATAAGCTAAGGTTTTAGAGATCCTCACTAGAACGAAGAAAACAGCAAGAGGACGACGCTAATGTATTCAAGTGGAAGAACTTGCCTTGTAGTAGTGCCAGAGCTACTATTCAAGTGAGCAACACTGGAAACAAGGCCGTTACGCCTCTGTTGTACAATGAGAACACCTGAAAATACAAAAAAATCTTCAAATACTGTCGAAAAACATGAAATCTCTGCAAATATTTCACCAAGCACCGTTATTGATTGGGCGCCTACGAAGCTCCACGTTACGCGCGCTCTTCGTATGCCGTTCAATTGCGCATTTTGGGGAAATCAGTGAAGGGGGCGTGCCAGGTGGAGTGGGTGTTTTAGGTGGACCTTTCGGACGTGCTTTCTTGTGTTAGTGTGCGTATTCGCGAATGGGGGGTGGACTTGCGGGCTTCTTAGGGGGACTACTATCGGACGCCTTTGAAATCTCATGAAGGCTCATTTTGCCCGTCCACTGCCTTTAAATACGTTTGTAGATGGGGTCTGCAGTGCAGTTTCTGGTGATAGTCTAAGCCATCGGGGGATTCTGTAAAACAAACTATCAAAAACCCAACGAAAACGCTTCCTGTAAATAAGTAAATAGTGAATGTTAAACCCACCATATCTGTTTGTAGGTCTAAAAATCCAGTATTTGCGTGGGGCAAGTCTCAATTCTTTATGCAAAAGTCGAAAACCAAAAACGAGATCAAGAAATATTTGTCTATGTTCTAAACTTTTCATTGCCAAAAACTTAAGGCAATTTTCGTAGCTCGGCATATCGACGAAATTGAGTTTTCTACGACACCTCAGCTACAGAATACGAGTAAAAGTTTGTTGCACTTTTTCCAGCTTCAAAATATTTTTCTATAAAAAGGGGTTCCATATTACAGAACAATATTCTAAATGAGGTAACACGTAGGCTCGGTAGAGACGTTTGAGGATCATCGGATTGTCGGTATGTACGCTACGAAAAATCGCAAATATTACCGAATAAGCTTTATTAACTACATTATCAATATGAGCAGAAAAATTTAAATCGGAATCAATCAAAACGCCCAAGTCTTTGGCGGTAGAACAATTTCTCAGTTTGTTTCCATTTATCTCATAGATTGGATTTTCAAGGTCTCCAAAATGCATGACAAAACTTTTTTCAAAATTAATAGGAATGCCTAAAGAAGCCGCCCAATGCCTCATTTTCTCAAGAGATACTTTCACTGCGCCTCTGACCTCAGCTTTATTTTCCGCATTGTAAAACCCATAAAATTTTATATCATCCGCATACATTTGTATTGTAATATTCGTTGATGTTTTCAAGATGCTTGGAAGCTCGGCCGTATACACCAGAAAAAGCAGGGGAGACAGTACTGCGCCTTGTGGGACACCGCTTGTGCAGCTGAATGGCTCCGAAAACTTGTGCCCTACCCGAACCGTCATTCCTCTGTTACACAAATGATTTCAGCCATTTTAAAAAATTTCCACTCAAACCAAGACTCTCACATTTCGACAAAAGTATCATATGGTTCACTTTGTCGAAAGCCTTAGACAGATCCATGTAAATGACATCGACAGAGTTGCCTCTGTTGAGCGCCAAATTCCAGTCAAAAAACCTAGTCGGCGAGATTCGTCATTGTGGACGATCCCGCCATAAAACCGTGCTGATTCGTGGGAATTACATTGAATTTTGCAAACCATTTCAAAAGCTTATCGCGCATTACTTTCTCCATTACTTTTGCTGCAGTAGGTACCAAGCTGATGGGCCGGAAGTCCGAAAGGAGTTTAGCGTTAGGAACTTTAAGGATCGCGGTTACCAACGCCTCCTTCCAGACCTGCGGCACCTCTCCAAGCATCAATGATATGTTGAAAATATGTGCGAAAGAGGAGCACAAAGGGATGAAGCGCATTTTTAAAAACAATTTGCGGGATACCATCGTACGTTTCAGTGGAGGAAGCTCTCAATCTGATTAAGATCCTCCGGATTTCAGAGGGATCGAAGTAGACAGTAGAAAGGCAGTGATGAACAGTGGGAACTGTAGAGAATTCCGAAGGCATAATATCATCGTGAGAGAACACATCGGCGAAATAGCGAGCTAAGGCATGTGATTTATCTATGTCTGTACTAAAAGTATTCCCATTTCGGTCGGAAATAGCAGACAGATGACGGCTTGATTTCAGTTTTTGATTAATATACTGAAAGAAAGATTTCGACGAAGCTTTCATAGCCAATCTATTTTCGTATGTTTTCAAAAATCTCTTTAAGTGATGATTCACATCTTTGCATACATTCTTATACATAGAGTTCATCAAAGGGTTGACCAAAGAGTTGAATAAACGTTCTTTCTGAGCTAAAAGCTTCCGTATCTGTGAGGGGTAGCCTTGGGGGGGGGGGCTGTTCAAGAAATTTGAACGGCACAAATTTTGCAAGTGCACCGTATATTGCCACACAAAAACGGTAGCATACGTCATCTGCTGATTCATACTGGTCAAATATAGCCAACCAATCAATGGTTTCGAAATATCTATTGAGAGAAATATAGTCGACTTTTCGAAAATCAGGTGTTGGCAAAGGAATGTGACTGGTCAATTTCATAGGGACTGAAAATTCGACTATACGATGATCGGAATTTGCAAGAGGAGGCATAGTGCGCGCATCCGAGACAATAGGTGAGGTCGAAAACACGAGATCAAGAACATGGGAGCGGTGTGTTGATTCTGTAACAAACTGCTTTAAACTAGAGTTACGGAAAAACTCGAGATAAATTGGTGAAGTTCTATTAAGAGGTTAGGCTCGGGCCAATTTATCTGTAGATTAAAATCTCCCAAAACTATTGTCTTTTCATATTCGCTAACAAAATTACACAACAATTCGATTACTTTTTCATCTTTTGCATATGAGCTATTTGGGGGACGGTAAACCGCTAAAAAGCGTAACCAGGTAGGCTCACGTGAAGAGGATATGTCGACGCATAGGATGTTTGACATTGTATTGTAATAATGCAAGATTTAACTAGAAGAGTACTTTTTGCTAAGCAACAGACTCCACCGCCTCTGCGGCTATGTCTGTCTACACGCAAAATTATATAAGGAAGATTTCCTATAACTTCACTATCACTAATTTTTCCCGTAAGCCATGTCTCCGTAACAAAAACTATATCAGGCTTGTGCTCTGACAGAAATGATTGTAAATGATGTATTTTTTTTTACTAAACTTCTATAGAAAAACTTTGATTGTTTCCTTCTTTTGCCGCTCACCATGCACTTTTAAGCGTAGAAAAACTTTGATTGTTTCCTTCTTTTGCCGCTCACCATGCACTTTTAAGCGTTTTCCGATCTCCTCTTAGGCAGGTCAGAAACGCGCACTAATTCTTATAAATTACCCATTCCTTGCTCGCTTTTCCTTTATTTCTCTCACGGGCAATTTGGCGCAGCTCGAACTCGCGCCTTCGCTCCTCGTCCGTCATGCTTCTGCGTATGAAAACGCTAGAATAACCAGCATCACGGAGGAGGTGAGCGTTCGCCAATGTCCTCCGCCAATGAAAGGTGGAGGTCATGACTACTTTTATCAGACGCGAGTTCGAGCTGCTCGCTTTGCCAATCCAAAACACCTCCGAAGGGGTGCAGTCTACATCAAGAGCGTCGAAAATATCCTCCACCTTATTTTGGAGATATTTTCGACACTCTGATGGCCGCATCCCCTCCGGAGGTTGTGGGACGCCACTAATCACCAAACTACGTCCACGTTTCTCCGCCTCGATCACCTCCAAAAATCCGGAAGAAATTTCCTCAGCGAGAACCCCCAACATTGTTTGGTGTCGGGTCCTTATTCAATTCTGAGATTGACGAAATCAGGTCCTGAATGGACATAGAGCTATAATCAATCCCTCGCTCAGCATTTCTACCGTTTTCCCCATTCTGGGTGGCCTGGGTTGCACTAATTTGATTTTGACTTCTTGTAACACGAGTGCGGGCCATGATCTACAATAATTCGATAAAACGCGGCCGCAAAAATAACGACAACCAGACCACAAAAGGAAAAGAAAATGAAAAAAGAAAGCTGGATGCGAGGGAAGAGCCCAAAAACCAATCAAGACAATCCCAGAAGAGGATCAGAAACAAACCAAACAATGAATAAACGGACAAAAAGGATTGTACGAAGGTAAAAACAAAAACTGTACAGAGAAAATAGCTAACGCCGCCGCACTAGAGATCGACACGTTCGTGACTAATATGCCGACTTTCTAATATTTGATCGTTCTTTGTGCGAAAATACCTATGTAGCATGTTGTTCAAAAATATACGAGATCTGCAAAAAACAGCAAATTTTTCTTCTATAGGTTTTCCGATGTTCTTTACGAGACTTCTTTTGAAACTATGCTCTAACTCCATTGCTCGTAAGAACTTTTTTTTTGACATAAAGTGCGGTTCATAATTATACGAACACCCAAAATTTTGTAAGTTTTTGAACTTTTTGAGAGAAACTCAAAAAGCCGTTGGTACCACGCGATAGAACACAGCCGAAAACGGTATATGATTCATAGGAATGGAAATTGATGTCAAGTGTAGGAGTGTTTTTGCGGCTAATGCGAATTTTTAGCGGTTCATAATTATACGAACACCTCAAACAAAGGTCCATTTTCCTTTCAAGATTGCAATCATTTGAGTCCAAATTTATTGTAGAGTTACAGTAACCAAGTCTGCCATATCTGCTATATACTAAACCCAGTGCAGTTCAAAAAGAGGACCGTTACTTTTTTCAAAAGGGGCTAAATGCTTTTGGAGTGATTGCGCTCCAAAAACATCCGTTCTTCTGTGGTTTATGCGCTCTAGTGAGCTTCTAACAAAGCTGTGAGATGAAATAAGCTCTTGTGATAGGTATTTTGTTTGACGCTTGAAAAATCTTTGCATTTTCGTGTCGTTTTTCAACCAAGTTCCGACCTTACCACAGAGTCAGCACGATTTCGAGCCTCAAAACTCAGCTTCTGAAGCCGTACAATGAAGTAAGCAATAGTATGTAGAAGTTTACAAGACTTTATATTTGGAGAAAAAAAATCAGCAGCGTTGAGCGTTTGTTTTCGTCACGCAGAAGTTATTTCACCAGGAATACTGTTTTTACTATTGCATTCACACCTTTATTTGGTTTGTAGCTCCACAGCCGCAAGATCAATTCTAGAAAAAACCCAAAAACTTTCGTACTGAAATATCATCATGCAAGCAATGCAGCTGCTTCATATCAAATGTTTGCACAAGAGAGAAGCTGAGTTTTGAGGCTCAAAATCGTGCTAACTCTATGCTAAGGTTGGAACATGGTTGAAAAACGGCACGAAAACGCAAAGACTTTCCAAGCGTCAAACAAAATACCTATCGAAAGAGCTTATTTTATCTCATAGCTTAGGTAGAAGCTTATTAGAGCGCGTGAACCACAGATGAACGGATGTTTTTGGAGCGTAATCACTCCAAAAGCATTTGGAGCTATCTGAAAAAAAGTAGCGATCCTCTTTTTGAGCTGCAGTGGGTTCGGTGTGTAGCAGATATGTCAGGCTTTGTTACTGTAACTACTCAAAAAATTTGGACTCAAACGATTGCGATCTTGAATGAAAAATGGACCTTTGTTTGAGGTGTTCGTATAATTATGAACCGCTAAAAATTCGCATTAGGCGCAAAAACACTCCTACAACTGTTATCGATTTCCATTCTTATGAATCATATACCGTTTTTGGCTGTGTTTCGCGTGGTACCAACGGCTTTCTGAGTTTTTCCCAAAAAGTCCGAAAACTTACAAAATTGTGGGTGTTCGTATAATTATGAACCGCACTTTAGTACCAATGTTAATTTTATTTTATTTTATATTCTTTGTTTATTTTTATTTTATATTCTTTATTCTTTTATATTATTTTATTATTTGTATCTTAGAGCTCAAAATGCATGAAATGTCACAATCCCACCATCCTACCACTCTCGGTTTTAGGTCCTGGTGCTCCCATAAAAGACGAAGATGACATGATTTCCATGGTAGATGCTGTACTTGCGGACATGGATTTGAATGGAGATGGATATATTGACTACGCTGAGTACTTGAAAAGAACAACCGAACTTAATGTCTAATAGTTTATTTAGTGTTTTACAGTATTAAGCAACGAATATGAATCTGTCAGGTATAAGGGTTCGCGATTCCCTTACCTGATGTGTAGCGGGTTTACATAAGCTTACTATAATGTTTATTATAAATAGTTATGTACAAAAGGGGGAAAAGGGGAAGGGGAAGACGAACGGCTACTGCCGGCGATCGGAGGTCACTGCCAGAGGTTGGCTGTCTTAGGCCAACCTCCTTCTCGAGCAGCTGTTGTAGCTAGCTGCGTCCCGACAAATCTAAAGTTCATTTTAAAGTGGCCAAGCTACATTGTTAACTTGAAAAATCTCACAAAAGGTATAAATAAATCTAATTTGCAAAGGTGTTACAAAAAGTTGTTCTATAGCAACAAAATTCACAAAGAGTGACAATATTCGACTGTATATCGTATTGTAGAATATTCGACATCAATATTACCACTGTTTTTCCATCTTATTCAGCTCTTTCATTTCACGCACTACCTGAAATAACACTATTGACTTTCCAGTAATCATCAAAGTCTTCAATCGGATTTATTCGCTTTTTTAATATGACTTTTGCAAAACCTATATTTGATGCGTGATTTCTCGTTTTTCCTTGTTCACAAGGCTATACTATACATAGAACAATTATACTTTCGATTTCCTTTTGCATGGAGCAAAAAGCTTTTGTGCGTATGATTCAGGATCAAGGCAATAAATTTGGGGGTTAGTTCGAGTTTTGTACCAGAATTTCTTTGAAAACCTTGCATCCTTAAGTACACTGATTCGAAAATTAGTGATAGCTATATGATGCAAAAAAAGGTCTCAATGCTGAAACTTATCGTCAGTAACTTGCTAGCGAACCTCTAGAATAAGCGCTTCGACTCCTTTCAGCGTTCGTCACCTTACAGCACGAAAACAGCGAATCTTGAAGTTCACTGACAAAATTTAAAACCAGTGACGGTTTGGTGGAAACATACATAATTCATAACAGTAAATTTACAAAGAAATCCCAGGGGCACATTCATTTTGCAGCAATATTTAGTTCTGAATGTTCCAGACTATATAGTTCTAGAACAGATATATTAGGTTGCACCAAAAGTAAACCGTATTTCTGAATAAATCAAGCTGTTTTTGTTTTCCTGATAGAGTTGAGGTATCACTTGATACAGCGAAGCAAGCTCTACAAAAAGATCGCAAAAGATCCGCCTCTGTCGTAATCCAGGTAAAGTTTGAAGCAAAAATCGAAAAAAAATTATTACCTGAAAATTGGATTTTTGCGAAGAATTGTAAGGAACTCAAACTTGGTCGTTATACAGCAGACACATAGAAGTACTCAATTATGCTTTTACTGAATTTTTTCCGGGATTAGAAAGAGAGAAATAAGAGATAGTCAGAAAATGGCAAACTCCGCCCCTCCCACATATGTCATTATATACTACACACCTTACTAAGTATAACCTCGAAACTTTACTTCTGTATGTGCTCTTATAATCGTGAAATACCAAGTTTTACATGAAAAAACCCGAAAAAAGTGGCATTTTGGCATTTTGGGACCATCTTTGTTTCTCAATTTTGAACTGTGGAAAAAATCAATCAAAAACACTTTTCGATACGACTACGTGTCTACTATATAAAGACCAAGTTGGGAATTCGTAGGAATTTTCTGGAAGGAGATCCGATTTTTAGGGTTGAAAATTTTGATTTTTGGATCCAAATTTTACCTGGATCGCGACTTAGACGGTCCTTCGGTGGTCGTTTTGTAGAGCTTCTTTCGCTCTATCGAATGGTACCCCAAGTCTGCTAAGAAAACGAATACAATTTGATTTAGTTAGAAATACGGTTTACTTTTAAGACAACCTAATACCAGCTGTAAGAGTCGATAGATAAATAGTGAAGTTCAAATGGCATTCATACACCAGAGACTCTATAAAGATTCCATGCTATTACTATAACACTGCGATATATAATAATGAAAACAAAAGAGATCAGTTTCCATTTGCATCCTTTATGACTGCAGCTATACAAGGCAAGAAAAAAAGAAGTACTTTATTCATAATAATTTTTGTAATAAGGTATGGCCTTCCCACATTCAAAGAGATCCAGGGGAAACCGTAAGTTTATTTCATGGAGTTACAGTCTGCCCCAATCCCAACCAGGCCAAAATTGGCATGGCGGGAATCCGCGTCGCGAGGGTCTTGCGTCACGTCTGCGGCTGGCTAGTCTGCTCTCTCCTCAATTTCTTCGCTCTTTGCGCGTTTACACAGGTGCTACCGTCGTTTTTGCAATAATAAATCGTAAATTTGAATCATTACCTTTCCCAGGCAAAAGTCGTCCTGCACTGCTGCGCTTTTGATTTTGTCATTACATCCACGATTTATAAGTTGGTCGATGCGATGCTAAATTAGTTGATAAATGACAGTCGCTAATTCAAGGTGCTAAAATCCTTTCATGGAGCGTTTTCCAAGATTATGGAGCTTCCATATGAAGAATTGGTATTATAAGTTTGATAGTAAATGATACTACAGAAAAGCGCAATTCACATTTTGGCAGCAAATGCGCCGGGTACTCAGCGCCCAGAATGGCATGATTGATGAATTTCAGGCGAAACTTCTCAAGTGAGGCCCTGACGATGAGAACCATGGAAGGTTGGATAATAGATGCAAGAATAGCAGCACTTGCGTCGAGGAACTTCCAGAATTGGCGAAACTTGAAAATGGTCTTGATCAGCCATATTTCCGATCCACAGACTAAGATATTTGCTTAAATGTAAAAAGGTAGTAGTTCTGTAGAAAAAAAACTTGATGAGAAGCAAAAGAATTCCTCTTCATTCCAGGAACATTTCCATCGCCCTCCTCCCCCACTTCTCTACAAGAAGTATCGATCTGTGTAGTTTATCATTTGCACTTAGCTAGATTGTAAGAGGTTTAGGTGGAAAAAAGTTTCAAGAAGTAATGCCTCAAATCACAAGCTTTCGAAGCCCTCAAGTCGGCCCTCAGTCCACTGGAGAGAGGTGGGCAGGGGACTGCATGTCGCACACCAAAAGGAGGTGGTCCCAATCTGCAACAGCCACGCACACGCAGCCACGCATATCACGGACATCACACGGGTAGATCTAAAACATCTGGATGGTCCAAAGACTGGACTGAAAAACGCGCTTCTTCAGTGTGTAATCATGACCAGGATTTTCAATCATTATCCGGACTATTCCTTCAAATACTACACATGCTACTTCTGATATATGAAGATTAGATTCCCGCCAGTCGTTTTAGAAAAACGACCTAACTTCCCCTTTGCCAACTTGATAGAAAAATAATTTTTGAAACGACAACGCTACCTCTGCATAATCTACTAAATCTCTGGTGCCGGTGATAGATAAACAAGGAAGATCTATATCTTCATTATCGATCTAAACAAGGAAAAATATGAAAAGAGTTCTCAAATCTTTTGAAAATTACCTGAATACGAACTCGAAAGCAGCGCTGGATTCGCTTAATATTGCGTCCTTCTGTACCTAAGATGGGGATATCGTGAGGAGCAAACTAAGTAGAATTGTCTTACCAAGTACAGTGCCCAGGGCGTGCTGTTCTACAAATATGAGCCTTGTGATTTTCGGTTCCAATGAATCAGCAACAAGGCCACGAATTGCAAGAGATGCCAGGCTTATCTGAAAAAAAGGAGTATAAGAGGGCACATAATACAGTTACCACCGCCTGTTGGTTTTTGAACATCCTAAGCCTAAAAAGATAAGATATCAAGGAAAAACATAACGAACCTATGCAATGGGGCCTTAAAGTTAAAAGACTCATATGCGATCAGTAAAGTAAATGACAGCAAAGTTTTGTTCTTCAACTGCATATAGGCGACTAGTTGACTTACCCGGCTCCGCCCGGCCCTGTCATTATTATATTCGTAATCAGCATGCTCGGTTACCCCCCTGTGCCAACTCCCAGCCCCGTAGCTCAAATTTTGCAAAAATCGATAAAATCGATATCGATCGATGACGAAAAGTAGCCTATGACACCCGCCGGGGCCCGAAGTGTATGTGTACCAAGTTTGGTCCGGATCGGTTCAGAAATGGAATTTTCTATTCGGAACATACGTCCAGACATACGGACAGACATACAGACATACAGACGGACAGACAGACAAACAGACATTCAGCTTTATATATAAGATTCATCGCACGCACGGCCTGGACGTCGTTGCGTCCGACTGAGATAGTTCGTGCATAAGGGAGACAGTAGACGGCAAGAGGAATGAAAGAGCGGTGGATGCACGAGACGCCGACAACGTCCGTAGTGACGCCCAGTCTCTGCATACGGAGCCTGACCGTTAGCAGTGTTTGTTTTCTTTGATAGTGGCATTTTTGTAGGCTTAAATCGTCAGTTTTCGCCCTCTAATTTGTACTACTAAATGTTTGGACGCACTACGCTAAAAAAAGTGCTTTCCAAGTTTAGAGGATTTGAAAAATTCGTTCTTCGGTTGTGGACATGAAAAATGCCAAATGGGCGTATACGGAGCCATTGGCCAAGTGGAAAGCGATGAACTGGCTCATCACAATGTCCTCTATATTCTATATGTATTGAGTTCAAAGCTGTGCAACAAAGCCTCTAAAAGCTATTGCATGACGAAGCGCAGAAGCAGTGTTAGTTGAACGAGCGCGAACACGACGCGCGCGCATCTTCATCGTTGTAAATCCTGCGCCAAGCGCGCTCTGCGGCTAATAAATTCGCGTTCGCTTCCAGAGATATTGCGCCTTCGTCATGCAGCAGCCTGTAAATTTTTAATGGCTAATAGCTCCCTTGACACCTATACAGCACTCCTTACGTTTGGAAAAGCAATAAGGTTCTACTTAGGCCCGTATGCACGTACATCCCCGCGGGGAGGGGAGGCGATCTGAGAGGGGAAGCGCCATATCTCACTGCTCTAGATATCTTTCTTCTTTCTTCTCTATCGTGCTCAGGGCTCGGCACGAGCTGGCACCAGGGAAATTTCGAAACGAAGTCCCGTTTGATCTTGTAAATTTCGTACGAAGCCCCTTTGACCAGTTTTGAAGACAAGTCATTATTTTTGGATTCTGTAAAAGTATGTAGTAGGGTTTTCATGTATGCTGATTTCATGGAACCACTTTTCACAAATTTCTAAGCTTTTTATGTGGTTGAATCACATCTTGAGAAGCAGAAAAAGCCGATTTTTCGATTGCGGAGCAGACTGAGTAATTTTAAAATTGCTATAAAACGCTGGAAAGAAAACATTATGAATTGCTTCTCCTCTGTATGTAAACTTTTACGGTGTAGATACATTTTATGTAAAAAAAGTATGAAAACTTATGTGAGCAAAGTGTCGGTGCCAGCTGAGCTGGCACCCAGCTGGCACGTTGCCAGCTAATCCAGAAAAAAGTTCGGCACAGCTTTCATTCACCTAAGTTTTCATAAATTCTTGGGCTATAGTTCCGGTCCACCAACGCGCATGCATACACCAAATTTGGTGTCATACTATTGCATTTTGGCTGAGAACGAGGCCTTTGCTTGTTGATGGACAGCAAGCCGGTGGCATGCTGGCGGCATTCTTGCGGCACTTCTCCGCCGCGGACCCCGAAAAAACGATATCCCCTTTGCTTCCCGCCCTAAAAACGATATCCAGCTTGACCCGGTGCCAGCTGTGCCGAGCCCTGATCGTGCTTATGAGGGTTCTCATGCCCTTATACCTGCGCATAATAGATGCTAGGTTACTGCTATACAAGATTAAATATTCAATATTTCTTCCGATCCGATCATCTCACATTTTCAAAGTCGTTTATCTTCCTGAAAAATGAATGAAAACGCCGCAAAATTGTACTGAAGATATATTACGATACTGCTGAGCATGTTTTCGACAGAAGAAATTGAATATGAAGACTTTGATTTTTTCGATAATCCCTAGATCGCGAGCAGCGGTTCATCGAAGATTTTGATATCTAATTTCACTCATTTTTACCATAAGCGTGTTTAGCAATGCTGTAGTATATCCATGGTGCAATTTGAGAGCATTTTCATTGAGTTTTCAAGAAGATAAATGACTTTGAAAAAGTAAGGTGATCCCCTGGGGATCCCCACGGGATCAGACGAAATAGTGAATATCTAATCTTGTATGGCAGTAACCTGGCATCCGTTATGCGCAAGTATCAGTGTATGAGAACCTTCAAAACCAAGACAGAGAAACAAGAGGAAAGATACGTAGACTAGCGAGATATGACGCTTCCCCTCTCAGATCCTCTCCCCTCCCCGCGGGGATGTACGTGCATATGGGCCTTAGAGTCACAAGTTGTGCAGAACAGTTACAGCACACAGTAATTTGCAAGTCCAGCACCAAATCACTGCTTCATTGATTTTCAGAAGACGTGGGCCTAGGTATACGATAGGGTGCTGTAATGAAGAGAATTTCCTCCATTTCTGCTCCTCTGCGAAGTTATAGTTAATCAGCTCAAGGGGCGAAAATTTTCTGTTGCATGGTTTTTTGCTGAAGCTTATGTTGCCCAAGGATCAGCTCCGAAGTCCCTCTTCAAAACGGGCCACCTAAAGACACTCAGGAACTTTCCATTCTCTTCTTCTAACGCCAATATCAAGGCTTATGCAGTTTCAACTCTATCTTATATTGGTGTTACAAAAATCTCATTAGAGTACCAAATCACGTAACACACTTGTTCCTCCTTCTCAGCACGAATCTCCACAGGTATTTCTTCTAGTTCCTTACGCTGCTCCAAGGCAAGCCAGTCTTCTCCTGAGATCTCTTTAGCTGAGATCTCTTCAGCGCTGCAAGAACTACGTCAATCGAAGTGCCAAAGGCAATGTCAATGCACAATCTAATTAGTATTTCTATTTGCATTGTATGAAATCGTAGTTAAGCTGGTAGCTGTTTTATAAGCATGGGTCAGTCTGAGGGTCAATTACGTGACGCGTTTACAAAATTATCTAGTGTTTTCCAAAAATCAAACTAATGAGGGGGGGGGAGAGCACACTACTGTTGCAATTTCCTTAGAGAATTTCGCTTAGTATTTTCCAAGTGCATAGTTAAAGCGAACCCTACCAAAGACTGGATGAATAAATTTACAAGATGTTACGATTTTGAAAGAGTCCATACGATTAATAAATTGTAAAAGCATAAGAACTGAACTCTTGCTGGCACTAAACCAGCACTAATGGTTCAGGAAATGCTGAATAAATGCTCTCGTGGTTTTCACTGAAATTTTGATTTTACAGAATTTTGGAGTTCACTACAGTCACAGAAAAGGCTTAAATTCAGATTACATATCATACCATTTGATTCAACTGGCTTGGCTTCAGGAAGGCGGAGCTTTGTAACTTAATTAAGGCCGCTCGCGCCCGCGACGCACCTGCGTCTCTCTTGCGCGAGTGCTCTCTGATCACTACCTAGCCTTAATTAGGTCACGAAGCCCCGCCTTCTTGCAGCCGAGCCAGTTGAATCAAATGGTACCTTTCTGACTTCCTCGAACTCCCGCTCATAAGCTCTACATATTAGGTCGGTCCGAATGTTCGTACCGTTTTTCACACCTGATATTAATCGTTCAGAGTGACAATAGGATGCTCCGAATAGTACTCGATGCAGGAATTCTTTCTCTTTCTAGAAATGATGCTCTCGTTCCGAACTTTGACGATCGCTCGCATAATCGTCAGAATCTCCAACCCGTAGTTTTTATCTACCCTTATTCTACCTACTTTTTCAATCTTTTCTGACTTGCGGAAGAGCTTGGCCACTTTAGATGCAGTAGACAAAACGCAAAGCAATGAACTTTTCGGGCGTTCGACTAGATTAAAAGTAATCATTTTAAGACTAATTTTTTCAAAAGTCTTCATTTTTGCGAAATCGTAATTCCGATAAACGTTCGGAATTTGAAACTTCCAAAAGTCGAATATGATCAAACATTATCAGCGAAGCAAATGAGTGTTTGCCGCTTTGGAATAATGAGTTTTGAAAAGTTTATCAGGAAAGGAGGACAGTCTGCATCTAATGACACCTTAGTTGATCACTATTTGATGTTCTGTGAGGTTTGAGATGAATTTTAGTCTTGATAACAACAAGAAATCTTTGAAAGTTCTCGAAATCAAATCGTAAGCGCCAAAAAATGCATTGTCTTACACTTCGTTTACTCTTTCCAACAGCATTTCTTCCAAAAGTTAGAAATGAAAATTCTAAAAAGTAACTGAAGTAAGTAGTGCTCCCCCCCCCCCAACCCTACCCAACTCAACCCTACTTGCTTGAAATTAGCTATTCAGCAGTCTTTTTGAACTAGTCACTTTGCACTTGTACCAGCATTCGATCAAATTATAGAACGCCGCACTAACCTCTCTGATATATCTCTTTTCTCCTTATCGTACATTACTCGGATGAATGTCTGCAATAGTTTATTACAATGCTATAACTCTTGTTTAACTCCAAAAAGCAAAGAATTTTTATTTTGAGGTTTACCTTAGTTTCAAGTTCTATACGGTGCACCGTTGATCCAGCTCTGCCGACAAGCGTTCCAATGCTCTTACGTGGAATCTTGATCAGTTTGGTAATGTATGTTCCTGAACATCTCACAAACTACTCTTATCGTTAGATCACAACTTCAGCACAATGATTATGATTTCTTCTGTCTCGTTTAGAACGGGATAGTTTCTCATTTCTCAACAAAGAGATTCAACTTCCCCCATAAAAAAGCATATCTATCCAGGAAAGCATGTTCAGTCGAAGTGACCTTTTCAGATGGAATGTATACCGTACTGAAGGGCATAAAATGCTGATTCCAAATCTGCCTTCCTTATGTGCAGACGTACATGGACGGAGTATGAGCGCTTACTGGAGCAAAAAATTGAATGTGAGAGTAGGACAGAAATAGCCGTGCAACTTTCTTGGTTTTTCAATGAAGCGGTGATAATTATGAGGCCTCTTTATTCAAATACTCTGTAATAAAATTATATTACGCTTGGTTGCATTATTTGAGGGCTAGTAAGATTTTAGCAACTTATTTTATCCAAAATGCACATACAATTCTTGGCTCCAAAAAAGGTCCATAACTCCTCGTCCATGAATGTTCTGCAAATATGGAAGACAGATTTGGAAACAGCTTTATGTCCTTCAATATGATATACATCTCATTCAAAAGCCCTACGACTAAACTAACTTTCCTTGTAAGCATGCTAGAATCACATTTGAAGTCAAACAAAGTTTGGGCCTTTCTTGCAAAATAATTCGAGATTTTCAAATAAATGACGTTTGTCTCAAGTAACTGGGAGTACCCATGCCATATATGCTTTCTCCTCTCTGCTTTGGCATGTCGAAAATCTTTCTCGCTTTTTGCTATCTCTGATTTTCCTTTTCGTCTCACTTTCGTACACACAAGTCGTGTGGATTGTTTTGAGATTGTACAGATACCGCAAAAATACGCATTTTTTGCAATGTCAGAGGCTCTCAGAAATTCTAAATGTCACCTCGTTGTCGAGCCTTTTAGCCCTCCCTCATACAGAAAAAGGAAATTGCTCGAAGTGGCTCACTTTTAAGTGGTTCCAGCAAGCTGCTGTCTTTTCTGTCCTTCAGCAATTCGTCCCATCCCAGCATCCTAAAAATAATGACATTATGTTTTTTTGAACCGCAGCAGGATATGCGTCCAGAGTGATGTTTCATAGGAATGCGTCTCTCCGCCTCTTCCCTCTTGCGGTGTTCATTGCACACAGACAAGCAATAAAGGGAGACGAAGAGGGCGAAAATGCGGCTGTGAACAAGGCTAAACCTTATAATATAAAAAAGAAAAGCAAGATTATTTGGTTAAGCAAGCATAGTGATGAGGACTATCGGATCCTAGCGCGAAATTGCATACCGCTCGAAGACCGCAGTCCACGAAGGCGGCAATTCAAGTCGCGTTCATGGTCGCGAAGTTCTGGCACAATTCCAGCACGAAGCTCGAATGGTGCCGGAACCGTATCTGAGTTACACTGCACTCAATAAATTCTACTCATTCTGAGCCATTTTTTAAGCGTGCTTTCCCTGCAATAGTTCAAACTTGGCGCTTATAGAGTAGACGATGTAGACCAGGTTTTTTACGGACACGTCAAGCAGAACACGTTCATTCTTCAACCCTCTCAGGTTTGAAGCTATTTCCATTACGAAGCGAAGCGGTGAAGAAAAATGGGGTCAAAGTGAGTGAACTCCACAAGTAAAAAAGTTAGAAAGACAGTCAAAAACTGCTATTTCGATCAATACCATCTGCGGGCGGATGCAGCGCGTGCCGCATAACTCAGGCGAGATTTCGGCACAATTCGAGTGTGGGGTATGTTAGCACTGTGCGAAACTTCAGGACCAGTACGAACGCAGGCTCATGCCTGCCTCATTCCTGTACTCAATTTTTTGTTGTTTTTCTGGAAAGCTTGTCACTGACGCTTGGCACGTTATAACGTCACCTTGGAATTTTGAAGGAACTTTGCCGCCGAGATTGAAAACAACGGCACATGGTCGATAATCCTTCTATAACTTTGCGAGTGTGCTAGTAAGGATGCAGTCTGTTCAGCAATGTGCTCTTTTCCAATCAGCTCAGGGGCAACGCAAGCCACGTGCCCATTCGCGGGCGCTTGAGCGTTCAGGTAGGTGCCAGAGTAAGCGAATATTTTGTTCAGCTGCAAAAGGCGCGCAGAATTAATGTCTGCTGCATAATGTCTGGGCCTGCTTCAGCTGCAGATCCCGCGCGGAATTAAGGTTAATTCTGTGCGCCTTTTGCAGCTGAACAAAATATTACCTTACTCTGGCACATACCTCAGATCTGCCGCGCCGAGGATCGCTGCGAAATATCCACGCGTTGCGGATGCGTACAAGTGAGAAGGGAGCGTGGTTGACACAGATTGTGCACGCGGGATCCTGCGTGGCTGCATGTAACGCTCTTTGGAACTTTCAGAATGTATGATTAGCTCCAAGATCCGTATACAGACGGGTTGCGGAGTGATTATAAAGATAAACTTGTCAAATGCGAATGCACATGATCTGCGTCCAAACACTACTCGCAACTAACCTCAGAATACTGCCATAAAGGGCTACAATGACAGCATGGAACCTGGACAGGATGGCCATGTGGAGCTAAAATTAGTTCCTTTCGAAATAAGGAACTTTCAGAAGTTGCATTCGCTTCCCTATATGGACTGCTCGACGCGAACATGTTTTCCACGTGTCTCGGGTTGACTCCAGGTTGAATCATGTCGGACTTGTCAGATTGTAGGCCTTTGAAAGCATATTGATTATTCGCTTACAAACAGTGGAGACCCAAGGTGTTTCGTTCGGAGTATGGGGGACATAGGCGACCCTACTGAAAAATTTTGGGATGCTTTTGATTCTTGCTAGGTCTCCACACTCCCGAAAGAATTTATTAAAGCTAATTCAAAACTCAGAAAATCAAAAAAAATTTCGTTACAAACGTAGAAACAAGTCACTTGCACGTTTTATTATTCACGCAGTGTCCTCCCCGCACTCGCTCCCGCCACTGCTCACAATTGGCAAAGTGAGAGGATGTCGCGCGTCCCCTTTGCCACAACTGCATATGCGGGAGCAACTGCAGCGTATCTCTTAGGGATCGTTCAGACCGCGCACAAAGGCGCTCAAAGGCGCACAAAGACGCACAAAGGCACATGGGGGCGCGTCTTGTCTCGTCTCGTTTATCTCGACACGCACACTCACTCACACGCGCCTTCGTGCGCCTTCATGCGCCTTCGTGCGCCTTTATGCGCGGTCTGAACGATCCCTTACTCTATTCGGAGGCATTACCTCATGAAGTGATTTTGGCTTCTTATTTGCTCCAACAGATACTCATAAATTAGGTATCATATTTATTGAGATTGAAGTGAAAGTGACTAGGTAGTAGATAAGTAATCGAAAGCCAGATACAATCACATGGGGAAAGACATACAAAAAAAATAAATACACTTATGCAAAAAAATCAGATGATGGGATCCTATTTTGTAAATGCATGGGCGAATTGATCACCAAATTTACGTTGGATCTTAGCCTTTCTGGCAGCATCCAATGCAGCAGATACACGTTTGATAGTCTTTGGATCCAATAGCTTCTTCTGGAAAGTAATTATTACAGCCTATAATAATTATGTATCAAAGTTATTGCTAAAAAATTTGTTCATCATAAAATCTCCAACAAAAATGCATCCCAACCAAAATTGATATCAAGTCCAGATTTTGAGAACTACGCACCTCTAGCCTCTGTCGTACAGTTTCCGTGCTCTTTTTCTTCTGTTTCTTCGTCTTTTTCACAAAAGATTGACCAGTTCCAGCTTCAAGATCTCTGCAAAGTCGGAAATAGATACTGATGGCCATTGTTTGCTTTGGCATCTCACCTCATGTAGGCTTCCTCATCTAGCCGTTCACGTTCCTTCTCAGCAGCCGATGGTTCAGGAGTGCTTACTTCTTCGATAGGAAAACCTTCGTCGTCGCGGTCAATTATCACTCCGTGTATCGGACATCTAGAATTATTGTCTACATGAATAGACGGAATAATTAGCAAGGTGGATCCAGAGATGAATCTAATCAGCCTCAGGCTACAGAAATTAAGAAAAATAATGCGGATTCTTGGAATAACAAAAATTTGCCGAAAGTTCGGTCATGTGACTTATTTAACACTAAAACAGATAGTTCATACAACATTGAAAGATTGTGATCAAAGAAATACCAAAGCCCCCAAGAAAACAGAACTATATAACAAAGCAGTATACCTGTGAAAATCCATTCGAGGACAAAGTTTTCCACTAGGAAGCCTAGCTTTGCAGCGCTTGTCCGATCGACGAGGTTCTCCAATCCACGTTATAACTCTCATTTCCCCGCAAGCAGCTTCCTTCTCGCTTACAAGTGGCCTGAAACAATGTTTGCTACAGCGGAGACTTCTTCGGTGCAAAGACTACCTATCGTCGTCATCAGGAGGCCTCCAAAACCTATGGCAGTCTGCAGTATTACGCATTATGATAGGTTCGGAGTGTTTCTCTCCCCAGTACTTTAGATCAAGATCGAAAGATACGACAGGAATCTTTGGTTTGGGATCATCACTCTGGAATAAACATTCGAGAAAGTTTGACTTAACCTCAAGCTCAACAAGCGGTGAAAGAAAGCACCAATGTATACACAGAAAAAGCCTGCGCCTACCGCAGCTTGTACTTCTGACTCGTCCACTTCTTTTTTGATTTTCTTTGGTTCTAAAGATTTGCTGCAACATGGCTCCTCTTCTTTTTCCATTTCTTTCACTCTGTCCAGAATGTATTGAGGCACCTCATCAGGCGGAAAGAAATCCTCTACTAAACACAACCGTCTCAATCTACAAAATGTGAAATAATTTTGGCAGAACTTACACTGCTTCTCAGGGACATCCTCAAGATCGCTTTCTTCACTTTCGCTGGAGCCGTCACCTCTGCGTCTTTTCTTTTTGGGTTTCAATTTCAACTCGTCGATCTTCTCACATTGCTGCTCGATTTTTCGTTTGAGATTTGTCAGATCCCTTACGAGATCTTCCACTTCACTCGCTCCAGCAATCTTACGCTGCCAACTATTAGGCAAAGTTATCTCATATTGAACAAAGAAAATGCTAGAAACTCACTTGATAATGTTCTTTTTATAGACATCTAGCATGACTTTAGCATCTCGTATATTCTCCAAGACTGCTTCATTGTCTTCACTTACGGTAACCTCCGGAACCAAGGATGGTAGGACAATGGATATTGTATCGGATGTTGCATAACCATGGACATCTGCCTAAATAAAAGACGTTCTTGATAATGAGATTATGTTCAAAATCGCTACATGATAAAAGTATGCGACAAAAATTTGATGAAGAGTAAAAAAGCTGAGGACGTTGCCAAGCCAAAATATCGTATATAAAATAAAATAAAAGAAAAAAACTAAGATATATCCAATTTCCGTTTCAATCCTTTCAATATCCAATTTCCTTTTCAATCCTTTCACTATACTTATATCCTTTCACTTTATTTTTACCCCATTTTCTTGAGGTTGAGATTAAATTGAGACCAACATGTTGTGCCTGATGAACGATGGAAATAAAAAAACGTTGCGGTGAATACTCTCCTCTGAAACACTCCATAGGTCTAACGACAAGCAACAGTAAAACTTCTGGATAAAAGGATGTAAAAAAAACATTGCATGCGACATTAGCCTAGTAAAGATTACCTGCATCTCGCCGTGATATGCATTAGTAGCTTCGTCGTTGGTGTTTGTAGTGGCATCAGTTTCGGTTTGATTGGTTGCTTCGTTGTTGGTGTTTGAAGTAGTGGCATCAATTTCGGCTTCGAAAACAGGAACTACAATGGCCAGTGCCTCTTCAGAGGATATTATACAGCGCTCGATGTCATCTTTTGCTTCGTTGAACTTTCGCCGTACATTCGCAGCAATCTAAAGTGACGAAGACATGAGAAAACTGAACAATGACAAGAAAAAAGCAATTAGCTGCGTTCATCGTTACCTTCTGCAGCTTTTCAGCAGCTCTTTGTTCCTCAATCGCTCTTCTACTCCTCTCAGCGAGCATTTCCGCAGTGGCGGATTCGAAATCCACTGCTTTTGACTCCTTTAGGTAGTCTCCAACCAGACTTAACTTCTCGTAGCCTGGGCCAAATTTCTCCAACCATTTCTTAATGGTTTTTATTCCACTGGTCTGCAATAACATTGAATGAGTAAGGATTAACACAACATGGAAACTGAATGTCCCTCTCACTAATCAAATGTTGGTGATTGACAAAGTATACGCATGTCACATTCCGAAAACCTACAAAACAAAACTCACCTTCAACTGCTTGGCTTCTTTGATCGGTCCAGGTAGTGGACGCCGCAAAGGATCAGTCTCACATACCAGATGGAGTAATTCCTATGAGGGAATCGTTGAATGGTATGTTATAGCCAACTCAAAACAGATTGACCTGTAGATTGTCCACTGTCCTCAAACGAAAGGCATGAGATCGATTGAAAAAATAATCAAATAGTGATAGCAATGCATTTCGTCGTTCGCAGTCAGATTTCTGCAAAGCTTTGCTGAAGAAACTGGATATAGCTTTCTCGACTCCTAATTTACAGGCCATGAATGCCTTCCAAACTCAAAACACGGAACTAATGAGTATGTTCATGCGACAAGCCGATCCTGAACATACTTATTAGTTTGTGTTCACTGTTCAGGCAAGGATGGGGTGGACGATGAGGTCTGGGGGTCCTCGTGCATCTTCGTTATTCCGGAGCGATTTTCCACTTCCGAAGCGACAATTTGCGCCGCGACTTCGGCAATCGCTTGATCGGGGGCCCTACTATCATAAGCTGCCAAAAGCTCAAGACCCTCAACTTAGGGTGGACGGTGCCTTTGACCTTATATAAAGGTTAACGTGCTGATAAAATATCCATACGCAGGAATGGTCCGTCAGCGCTTTCAAAATGGGGACCACAAAACATACACCGCACATTCGCAGAAGCTCCTATATGACGATAAAACGTGCCGAGATAAGCTCCCCCTTCCTCTGAGGTCCAGGCATCTCCAACTTCAATAAGCCAAGCCTGATCAAATGTTGAACTCTCCAGTCTCATTTTTCGTGCGCAAGTTGCTACACTGATGGGAACAGGAGTACAAAGCTGAACACATTGTTCCAGTACTTGTCGGTAACAGTGGCAGCAGCATAGGTGAGATCTCTGGTTTTTGCACAACAACGTTCAAGTATACAGAAAGTTATTTAAAAATTGTGAGGGAAAAGCTTACCTCTAGAGAAGTAAACAGATAGTCAACGTAGTCCGGAATGAGATCTTCATTAGTGCGAACAAGATTCTTCAGCTTCTTGAAGTCGTGAGCTTCGGTGTTTACGGTGTTGTCCGGCTTGTTTAGTGCCTGGAAATTGATAAGGTGATGGAAAATGCCCCAGAAATGCTCTCCAATGTTCCGACTTCGTTAACCAGCTTTGCTGTAGCCCATCGCAGTAGTCTCAACCGATCATCAGCCATCTACTGAGCATGATTGTCGCAAGAGTGAGGGTTTCGTAAACGAGTTTGCCGACAGTGTGCAGTTGCAGCCAGCGCGCTTTCACGCCCTTTTTTGCTTGTTTAGCGAGGTCACGTTTTTCGTGTTTTGCGCTTCTTTAACTTTTCGTAAAGTTCTTTAAAGTCTGCACTTGTAATCAATAGTCCCATTTTTGCATTTTGTCAGCTTGCAGATGCTGCGTCCCTTAAGCCGCAGCTTATCATCTCTGAAGAAGAAGTCTGTAAGATTATTATCGACGCCTGCGGATACGAAAGATGACGACTCAAAGCCGTGGCTCAATCCTTGGAAACATGCACTTCCAAAGAGAGGTTTGTAGGACACTTTGAGGTCTTGCCAGTTCACCAGAGATAGTGGAGTAGATCAGAATATCGGGCTCCTTATTTGAATAAGCTACTAAATAAGCCGCTGAAGAGCCCAAATGAAACATTCATGGCTGAGAAATCCAACTCTGAATTCTCACTCAGACCGTACCTTGCAAATGAGCATGAGACGCTGGCTAGCTTGCCTGCAATGTGTACGGTTTGGGCAGGAAACTGATGTTGTTTTCTCGGCCACAAATAAATCATATGAGCTTTTAGTGTAATGGCTGAGTTAAGGCTTTCCGATCAGTATTCACGTAAGATCTCTAGGTAACCACAGATGGTACCTGAACGGCGTTTCAGCAATTCTCATTGCTGTTTTTAGAGGCCACCACGACATCTTTCGAAGAAGTGAAGATTGATTGGTCATTTGTTGAGAGGTTGATGCCTCACGAGGTCGTTCCTCCCTTACCAAAACATGCTTCCTACCCCACGCCGAGTGGTTGGCAACCACCTCAAGGTTAGAATTAACTTTCTATTACTTATCTTTTCTTCATATTATGAGTTGTCATAGAGACTGCCAAGTTTGATTGGCATGATTCTTCATCTTGACATGCAGAACTTTCTACTGAATTCATGCTAATTCCGAAAGCGTCCAGCATAGTTTGGCTGGTGGCCATAATTCATTTAATTATGAATTCAGAAGCTTGAGACGTACAGGGTGCTCCAAATGTATCGAACTTTGATCTGTTCTAACACTCTTGTGAAAAGAAATCGCAGTCTTTGAGTACCTTATGTAGGTAGCCCTGGCTATGTAGAGCTCAGTGTAGACTTACAGTGTGGGAAAACCACCTCCCACTCTTCCTGTAAGATTACTAGGAATTCTGAAAAGGTGTTTGAGATGAGGATCCTATTCCGTTACTGAAAACCAAACAACCTAAGATTTCTTACATTGGGCTAATCAGAGCCGCTCTCCACGTATGAACTTTGCATTTTACCTCAATACTTTATTAGTTAAGTCAACCGCAGTAGCTGCTTTTACGATGCTCCCTAAAGTTGTGAGCCATTTCGAAAGCTTTACAGACTCGAAGTAGTTGAGTAATGAAATCATGGCGCGCGAATACCCTGGTTCATTTTTCAGTTTTTGGAAATCCTAAAATAAGGGCCACAATGACGTTGTAAGTTGAAATTACTACAGTAATCTTACAGTAATGAAGAGCGATATGCAATTTGCTTCATACGGTGAATCCAAGTTGAAGTCAACTCTGCAGTATGGTCTTTCAAGGAAACAAATTTTTCATACAAAAGACATCATTTTGGACACACTGTATTTTTAGTTACGGCAGGGTCGCTATGAATTCCGCTGCTCATGGGTCGCGCTTCAAGGTTCTTTCGAAGTATCGTCTGTAATTTTGAAGTACTCAAGCTTTGTCTCCCCATTATCCACGTAAAATCTGTGGTTACAGCAAGATTCGCGCCACTTGACATGCATTGGCTTTATTTACATTTCAATGTACTGGTGTCTATCGCACATTGTGCTCACTGACGCTCTCTGTCAACAGCAGCTTATTACCACGGTCTTTTACTCTTTGAGATCGTAATTGCAAGGGAATGAGTGGCGCATTCAGAAAAACTTGTATATTGGCAGTTAAAAACTAGTCATATGCATTCCATTGCCTACCTTTGAGTGACCAAATCAGAGCGCGAAGGTCCGAAAGTTCATGTTAATTCTATGCCTGTTCCCTTGATATTCACGCTTTGGGAATTTTTTCCAAATTTACAGTGAACACTCCTCTAGTTGCACGTGTTCATGTGCAGGAGTATGATGCTTTTTTTCTGACGATGAGTCAATTAGCGACCGTCCTTCGGTTTGGTAAATCACCGAATTTTGTTAGCCTATGTACACTGCAATAATCCTCATACAGGCAGCGTACAAAATTTCGCCTTCGATGTTTTTGTCATTCTGGAGCCTTTTGCAACTGTAACTGCTGCATATGCTGTTGTGGTTCGTCGCCCGAAGGAGGCGCACCGCAAAAAGCAACTGCACTGTTGCAACTGCAGTTGCAGGTGTAACAGCAGTTGCAACAGCAACTGCAACTGCAGCTTACGCTGTCGTGGATTCGCCCGAAAGAGGCGGAGTGAAAGAAAAGTTAGGCGGGTTTTCTCCGCTCAGAAGCAACACAGGGAGATCGGACCAACGCAGTTGATCTTCTTCTGGGCCCTGTATATAGTATAGAGAAATGAGTAACTCAACTTTTGGGTGTACGCTGCCTTTAAAAATATATGTATTGAAAAAACGCTCCATGTTTCGCCATATCTGCTTGCTTGTAGCTGTAAATGAGATAATGTAATGTTTGCAAGCTAACTTGACAACTACTCGAATGAATACACTCATGCCTGTTCCCTTGATATATTCACGCATTGGGAATTTTTTTCAAATTTACACCGAACACTCCATTAGTTGCACGTGTTCATGTGCAGGAGTATGATGCTTTTTTTCTGACGATGAGTCAATTAGCTACCACTCTTCGGTTTGTTGATAGCGCGGGTAAATCACCGAATTTTGTTAGCCTATGTACACTCTGGTAACACTACAGCTATTTGTATCATGAATAGGCAAATTGTGAATCCTCAAGTATTGATGGTGGCATGTTATCATTACGTATTGGCTCCCAAGTCCTGGCGTAAATGAGATTGATTATCGGTTCATAGAAACACGCTATACTTGCTCCACTTGACTCAGTACATCTACTTCGCTATTAGTTGAATCAGTGATATGATTGTGAAGTGGGTGAAGCGGATCAAATCGTGTGCTATGTTGTGGAACTTGCTTCAATCCCCGTCATCTTTTGTTGAAATCATCAGATAACTGCCGATCAATCCGAGTGAGTCCAGTATCGTCTCCCGAATACACGAACTGATGACACCAGTTTGTCAGTTTGATGGTTCGCCTCAGACAGTCGAAGGATACCTCCGGCGGGCATATGGCGCGAGTCTGCCACTTCGCGCTCCGGAGCCCTGCCATTTCACGCATTTTTGTGCTCCAGAGCTCTCCCAAAAGTGGCGCACCTCCTGAGCAGAGATTTGCGCGTCGCGAAGAGAGGTCCCATTCATTCACCGTGACGTCACGGTGACGTCACAAACAGGACGAATGGGACCCCTCTCCGCGACGCGCAAATCTCTGCTCCGGAGGTATCCCGTCGACTGTCTGAGTCTATTGTACAATCGTTAGAGATCTCTCGTCCAATATCTCTGCGAGCGTAATATAATATGATCTCATAAGTCGCAATATTGAAACAAGGACAAACTCAGTATTTTGTTGTTATAGATCTTGATTTTGAATCACGGATCAGAACTTTTGATAATCATCGTCTTGTGTTTCCATGCTTAGCAGATATAGTACATAACCAGGTCCAGCGCAACAACCAGCTTATGTTCCGTTTCCATGATGGGCCGAAGACGTGGTGGTTGTTGCGCTTGCCGTAACTATCCACTCTTTCTGTTGGCATTAAGGACGCCTCCATTTTCACTTTCATCATTACTGGGTGATTCTACTACAAAAAAGTCTTTTTTGATTTTCGCAAAAGCTCTCTGATAATAACCCTTCATTACCTAGTTATTTATGTAGTTATAGGAGAAGCCAACTTTTTGGGTGTTATATGTGGCGTACTTTGTGTTAATATCTCCAAATGGGAATTTGTCTAACCTACACTAATTTATCTAATTTGGGAAGAACACTAAGTTTTGACAGATTTTTGGATTTTGCACATTAGATCACGCGAAGCCTTTGTTAGAGGGCGTTGTGAACAAAGCTGAAAATGTCTACATTACAGATCCTCCTCCAGATCTACCTTACTATGTTCGTAGACGGCGAGATCATATGCTTCCTCTTTACCTGAGTCGAAGAAGAGATCTACTCAACGAGAAAACGCTCGACTTTGACTATGTGGAACTTGTCACAATGAGAAACGTTGAAGGCGACGTTTTTGTACGTCTTTCTTCCTTTTCGATTGTACTGCTTCAAAAACTTGTAATGTTTCAGGCATGCGAAAAGGATCTGCGAATGTTCGTGGATGCAGAGCTAGGAAAAACAATAGGAACACATGTTGACGAGCTGAAGGGAAGAATAGTGATAAAAGGTGTAGATCGATCAGTAGTTGAGAAGTTTTTGTATAGCAAAGGATTTTAGGAGTTTGCACGTTAAGATCTTGATTGTTATATATGTATATGTAGGTTTTGCAAGTTGATTTTCCAGTTTTTTGTTTCATAATTTGATTAGACGTTTGTTGATTTATCGCATATATTGTTTCTAGACTGAGCTATAAACCATTGAAACGATTCTTTGTTTGTCTCTCAGCAGGTTTGAACCATGTATTCAAAGAAGTTATCGCCCGTATTCTTTTGGCGACTAGGGTGGACAGCAGGAATTGACTATCAATCTTCTGTACTAGTCGTATGCTGATGATGTTTTCCTCATAGTGTATATTCGACCTTAGAATGAACTGTTATCGTTATTTCTGCCTTTATTGGAGTTTATGTCGTCTACTTTTGAGGTTATCTTTAGTTTTTATCTGTGTACTATATATATACATTACTGCAGTTCTCGTTTAGTGGAGTTAAAACTTGTGCAAGTCCATCATGTCCTCCTATGACTCATAATAGTTTTCTCCGAGTTTGAAACGCTATGATTTAGCTGTACTATAAGTACTCATTGTCTGGTAACAGAAGGCATAATCTGCAATGAAACACCGCTCTGATTCCTAAAGTGCAATTCGCTCTCTCATCGCCGTAACTATTCCGGTTACCTGTTTACACATTAGTGACTCACCATTTCGGAGTCGAAATGTTAAAGCAATGATTGCGCGTGTTTGCCCGCATACACTCTTCACTTATGTGGAATATGGTGTCTGCCAAAAAATGTAAGTTTATGTGCATGGAGAATTGATTGTTGCAATCGCTGTTTCTTGTAATTTTCCTAATATTTTAAGTGTATTTAATAATGTCTTATTACAGTTACTCGCCTTTTTCGCTCTCGCAAGAGCATTCACAAGCGCAAAATGTCGCCAGTATGTTGTACTAATTGCAGGACGAAATACTCCATTCTCAACCCTGAAGTGAGTTTTTCAACTTTTTTATGTTGCTCCTATTGTTGTGGCTTTTCGTCCTACACTTGTGAAACTACAAGTGTGCTATTTTTTGGTTTTTTTCTTTTTTTGGAGAACCAGTTTAGATGGAGACCTTTGAGAAGTTGTCAATTTCATCGTTTTTTATCACCTTTTTACTTTTTACTGCTTTTTATTCGTCAGTTTTCACATTTACGAGCAGTCCTAACACTCTATAATCTTCATTTCCATCTTATCTCTCCGACAAGATGAAACTACGGTGATACTTCTTTTTGTCATTCTACATTTACCTCCCTTTTTTGGAAATTTCCATCATGTTATTATGAAACTTAGCCCATTATTTCACAATACCACTGACATTTTTTTTAAAGGAAGGCTGTTCAAACTGTGCGTTGTCGTTTTGTCGGAAATGTCTCTCCCACCGTGCTCTTCTTCCACAACTTGCGAATAAACCAGTATCCGTCTGTGCTCAGTGCTTTGAGAAACTGAATGCAGAGACAATTAAAAATCAGGAAAAGAATGGTGTACAGGTAACTTAGTGTTCTTTCTGTGTTGTTAAGTATGAATTTCAAATCGTTCAGATTACACGAATAACGATCGGTAATGACTCGCCACCTCAAGTGCACTCATCAAATGCAGTGAGTTCTCGAACAGGAAACTGGTGGGGAGATGGGTTACCGCCTCCATCGTTGAGGCAGACAGTGGGTGGGTTGTTCTTTTATATTTGAATACTATTCTTTTGATGTTATGGATAATTTACAGTTGTGAGTGGTTGAAATCACCGCGGCTAATCGTTAGTGTTTTGCATATTGAGACCACAGCTCTGTCTGGGAAATAGCCATGCTACAGAGTCAAGCTCAAGCTGTAAAATGCGTATTTGAAATTGTTAGAGATTTTGAAGAACTCAGCTTTTTGCCAGCTTCTCAGAATAGATTGATTGCGTATGTAGCGGAAAACGATCATGGACGTACCAGCTGCAAAATAGCTGAGTAATCCATCTCTTTACCTTCGCATAGAAGTGCATTTGATGATGCATCGCTTATACAGTTTGTAAATGCACAAAAACATTGGGAACGTGTCCGCAGCCTAGACCTCTTACATGAAGCCGTCATTCTGCTAATGTGCTATGATGTACTACAGAGACATTGATTATTCTCCCAGTAACATGTTTATCGCATTTATCAGAATTTGGGAAGATTACATTGAAAGCACATTGAGCTTTCCTGCTTTTCACAAGTGCATAGCTTAAGTCCTGGGATTTTGCAAAAAGATCTTAAATGAATAAGGAAATGTGAGTCGAAATGATGCAGATGTAGAAATTGAAATGAGTGGTAGTTGCTGACATTAACGATTAACTGGTCTTTTTTGTTCTTTTCGAAGAAAGCCAAGTCAGTATATAAGAAGCGAATTACGGCTTTTTTTTCAATCAGATAATTTCTCATTTGATGTAACCGCAGTATATACTCACTGAAATTTCTTGCAAGGCAATCGACTCAAACGCGTGGACATAGACTTTTTTGCTCAAGAAAATTATCTCACTCACTGTCCGGTTTTTCCAGAGTTTTAATTTTGTGTAGATAGCAAATTTATCTACTTCAATTAAAAGAAAGTAAGGGCAGCGATGTTTTTTTCAAAGTAAAGAAGGTTTTGTTTTGGGCATGTTCTGTTGGTAACTGTCTTAGAGAAGTTCTATTTCCAGAGTCAAGTTCAGGTGTACCCCACAATAAAATACTGCCACCTCCTCGGATTTTGCATGCGAAAGTACGCGCTCAAGCAAAGAAGGCGGAACATCCTAAAGACGACGTGCATGATCTGGAGGAACGTTTTAAGAAATCGCGACAGGATGGTGAGTTGTTATTGTGAGGGCACCTTTCTCCGCATAGATGATTTTGTGCAGTTATCATTTTCCTGGAACTGTTTTTTGTTGCAAAGTGAGCTTACTATCGCTTTTAATATATTCTCCGACTCTCTTTTTCCCAGTTTTTTCTGCAATTTTGCATCTCCAGCACCTTATCTGTTAGAATCTAGTGGTTTCAGATTCTGCAAGTGGTCAGCCGTTGACTGTAGAAGAGATTGAAGAGCGTTTAGCTGCACTTCGTGGCTGCGATGTGGAGCTGGTTCGTCGGCCCCGCTGTGTAAGTCTTTTTTCTGTCCCTCAAGTGTCTCATTGTCGGTTACTCAGATGTTTGAAACTTCCGGAAAGCAAATACCGGCTGGAAATACTGTACAAGGACTAATGAAGATGGCACAAGAACGTGCTGAGATTGAAGAGAAGCATGATCCTGCGAAGGAGTTGGAACGCAGGCATAGGGCTTTGAGAGGAGAAGAAGAGCAGGGCGGTAGTCGTGCACAACAAGAGGAGAAGTCTCCAGCAGATAGTCAAGGTGTGTGGGGATTGAACTCATTGTGTTTTTTTTCTTGCTTTTTTGCTATTTTTATCTCAAAATTTTATCTCTTTCTTCGAAGCAGTAGTCAACTGAACTCATTAATCTCTTCTCGCTTTTGTATCATTTAGTCTTGAAATATTTTTTGGCAGCAATACCTTTTGAGGAATAATCCAGAGAATTCCTGTTGGTGTTTGGGTGCCTAGATTTTTTTGTTTGAGGTACAGCTGATCAAAGTGACCCTCGATTATCGACTGTGTCATCATCGACTGCTTTCAGTGAATCCACCGCAAAAGAGTTAGATGAGATAAAAAGGTAGATAAATCTCATTTGTTCGAATTTTTATTCCATGATTCTATCTCTATTAATTTGCAGATTGCTGGAGGAGGCGGATAAACGAGTAAAGTCTGAAGAAATAGATGACAAAGAAATGAAGAAGAAAATGAAGAAAGTAGTTGCAGCGAGTGAGATCAATTATTTATTCACCCGTAACAGCGTCTTGATCTTGTTCATTCTTCAGCTCGGCAAGAGTCTCTTGACATTGAAAAAGTTAGCAATGAGCTTGGCCATTTTTGGGAGAAGCAACTGGACAAGGTGAGATTGGTGATCTAATAATCAAATACAGGCTCATATCCATACTAAATCTCTTTGAAAACTGTTTGTCAATAGGATTTGATATATTTGTAACGATGAACACTTCTTAAGAGTCTGGAAGAAGTCACTGATTCTGATGACGAAACCATTGACGAAGAAACCATGAAAAAGATCATTCTCGAGGCGGAACAAGCAATAAACGAAGCGGAAGAGGTGATACATGAATCACCAGAACGCAAGCCAACACCTCATGAAAAGAGCGTGTCGCCAAAACCAGAGGAAGCAGGTATAAGATCGCCAACACAAAAGAAACCTGGTCTCTTTAGTAAGATATTCCGGCGGTAACGTTTTATTTTGTTTTCATCGAGTTAACGTGGGTAACTGGAGGCGTTTATCTTCTTAACATTTATATGTTCAGTTGTTTTGCTTGTGACATTGCTGAGAGCTTCTATATTCGAACTTCCTCGAATTGTAATGCGCTCTTAACTATAACCTCATCTTTTATCTGTACATATGTATACTTATTTCTTTCTCGGTGCCAAATCATTTTTCGCAATTCCTTTCATCTTTTTTTAAGCGGCAAAGTCTTACGTATTGCCATTGCATTACACTGGATTGCAGCTATATGTGAATAAAAAAATCTGACAACTCCTATTCAGTCGTGACTGAAGCATTCTATGACATGCAAAATTTGCATCTGTCAGATCGCTAAGTTCAGTTTGGGTCGTACCAAAAGTTTTTGCCTTTTTTTTTTGAAAACATTCACAAAGGCTCGTTGAATACTTGCTGGAAGCTATCTAAGCAGTTCGTGTAGCTTTTCCTTTTCTTTCTGGTCGTTTCTGCAGCATCTACCAGATACTCACCGTCCGTCATCGAAGTTTATACGGTCATTACTATTGTGCTCAGGACTCGACCATTTTCAGAGTTTGTTCTACAAAATGCATATTATTTGTGTCAGAATTCTTAAAGAAATGCAACTACAACAGTTAGAAAATTGATTTGGATTTTATGTTAGAGCGCCGTAAGCATGCTCTATGAGAAGCAGTTCGAAATCCCAATTCTAGTAAAAACTGCAAGAAACAATCTTGTGAGAGTAACAAGCTTGACGATTACGGTTAAATCGTCAAAATTTTCGTTTTGAACTCTCTCTCAAACATTCCGATATGCAGTGATCCTAAGGCCTAAAGCATACCTCACGCGATTTCAGTCGCTGCGCGATCTATCACTGCAGCGACTGTTCACACTGGTCGTAAACCCACTTTGTTTGGGCCAAACTTGCTGCATTTGTTACAACGTACAGAATCTACGCGCCCATGCATTTAGGAGGCGCTCATGCTTGATCTGCAAACATCTGGCAAATCGCCAAGTCGCGAGGATGTGGCGATTTCGCGAAATCGCGAGAGGTACGCCCTAGGGCTAAAGTTGAAAGTCAACTCTATTTTACTGCAAAATCTTTACTTGAGAGGAGCAATCAGAAAAATGAGTGCCGGCCAAGCTTATGAGCCTCTACGGCGTGCAGCACGCGAAAATATCGCTTGGAATAACATGCGCCAATAATTGCGCAACTCGTAGAACTTTGTAAAGATAATCTTGCGAAAGGGTAGAGGGTTTTCAGCGTAGTCACTCATTCTAAATTTTGTTTTGCTCCTCAGATTTTCGTAGAATAATTGTTTTCTGAAAATGATTGCCGAAAGTCAACAACCGGCTGTAGCTTTACTGCTGAGCATTGTCAGTCTAAAAAATTCAGATTTACTGCTACAAAAGTTCAAGGTTCTGAAGTTGATGCTAATTTCACACCCTACATCTCAAAAGACAAAGATGTTAGCTAATCGGTCCCAGGATCGTTCTTGGAGGAGCGGGACAAAATTTCTTCAAAAACAGGTGTGTGGTGTCAGCTAGGCAGCTGAAAATCTGGGATGATTCCCAAAATTTCTGCGGGTCCACAACCCCGCCTCAAAAATTTTTTTACAGGGCTCATTTGAATTTTCAAAAATATTATTCTGGCTTATAAACTAAAGCCCTTGCAGTTATAACCCATTTAAATAACTTTCAAGTTAAGATATGGATCTAAAAGGAGCAAAATCCAGCAAAAGGCGTGCATGTGCCAGTTACCTGTGCTCCTCCAAAGATAAGGAATTCAAAGAAAAACTATGGCGATAATGTATGAGAGGCTTCACGAACGACAGCAATTAGGCCCCGGTCAGACTTCACGCGATTTGATCGCCGCGACTCAATCGCCGACATTTCCATTCATTTTCATTTCACATTCAAAAATTTCGGGCTGGAAAAGTATCACAACTGAAATGCAAGTTGATCAGCATAGAATGATGTTGTAACAGTTGCTCGTCGCGATTCAGTCGCGACGATCAAATCGCGTGAAGTCTGTCCGGGGCCTTAGGAAGTCCGCTATATTATACACATTCAAGATGGTTCTCTGAGTAATCATAATTTAGCATTTTTCACTGAGCGCCACTTGTTGGAATAAAACAAAAGGTATGATGGACGTGTTCGATGCAGCTTTAGTTCCTCTTTCAACGAGTCATGTTTAAAAGTTGACCTTCAAATTTCCAAAAAAAAGTCGACCTTCAAAAAAAGTTGACCTTCAAATTCTTCAAAAATGCTAAAGCTTTCAACTGCCTACCTTACCACGATTGAATCTGACTATTTTTGGAATTTTTGTTATGGACATCCAGCGAAGATTAAGTAACGCGCAGATAGACATATCAAAGTCGATTTTCAAGCTTTTCATAATTCTCAAGGAAATGTTTTTCTCAAAGAACTTTCCTTCTTAGCATGAATAACAAAAAAAAAATACGATCTTCACGGAACTCATCAGTAGTGAAGGAAGATCGTAAGAATGGAGAAGAAAGAAAAGAGAAGTAGCAAAGATCAAAAATCAAAGTAGTACGGTATAGTGTAGTTATCCAAAAGCAGTCTATTTAATTTCGACAATAGTGAGGATGGCCTTAGGTATTCTTGGTAAGCAACAGAGAAGAGAGAAGGAAAGGATAAAATTAGAAGTAATAAGAAGACAACATTATACATAAAGTATGTTATAGATCAATCCAGAAACGATTTTGAAAACTGGAGCGCAATGAGAGTGTCATAGCTGATGTTGATTAGGGCATGTTGGCTAGAGCGCACCTATATGGGGGAAGATACAGTTTTAAAATGGTTACCAGCAAAGTTCAAAAAATGATTCAACCACATTTATTATCTCAGTATCGTCAGCATAGCAATACTAGATAACCATGAATTTATTTTTATGTATACATTTGAATATCGCACTCAAGACACAATAAGGAACATGTTCGAGCAATTCCAAGATTTTCTGTATATATTGTTGCCTTTCTAATATTTATAAAGATACAGAATGATATATGAGGAAATCGAAGTGCTTTATTCCGATAACTATCGGTTTTATTGCATAGTTTGGTTAAATTTTGTTCTTCGATATGTGTACTTCAAGGTCTGGGTAGCACCAAGTCAGGGCATGCTTATCCGACAACTCAAATCGCAACTTTGAGACTGAAGCCAGACAACACATTCACTTCTGCGAAATCAATACATTTGAATCATTCGAAGCATGATCAAATTCCAAATCGATTCTCCTTCTTCTTTCTCTCAGAAAATGAAATTTCTCTCACTCAATTAACTTTTCAAATCTCGTAGGCTGACTTTTCCTTGATTTTAAGCGCTATCTAACAAAAGCATTTGTCAAAATTTCTCATTCTGAAAATAAGAAGAAGTTTGAAGTTAGTTCTATTTTTCAATTATATTTGATGATCTTCCCTCACTACTGATGACGTCCGGGGAAGATCGTAGTCTTTGTCTAATTTCCGTGTAGTGATGGGAAAGGGAAATCAAAAAATCCCATTTGTTTTAGTATTGCATAATTTGCTTATAACAGCACCAAGCGTCAAAGCCCAAGATAGAAAAGTTTGAGGAATTAAGTGAGTAGCCTACTTACAATTTTTGCGGAATGTCAGTGTTTGGAAAACTGATATTGAAAAATCGCTGAGGGCCTATGAAAAAATCTGCAACAAAATTGTGACTGTGACCTTTTGGGCTTGAGCTCGCTTTATACACCATTTAATTGGACTCCTACCGGAATTCGGTATGAAAATGCTTTCAAATTGCAAAAGTTGGCCATGAAATACCATAAGATGCAGACTTTTGCGACATTCTACGAGATCCCGATTTCAACTGCAATGAAAAATTGACCGTTTGAAAAAGCATGAAAGCTAAACCAAATGCAACCAAAATTCGTGTGTCTTTATTTTGGTGCTTTGACAGGCAGCAGATAGGGCAAACCTTTTGCAAAGATGTGATGTTTTTGTAATCCTTGGCTTGTTTTGTAGAATTTTCAAAATTCATTAGATAGATGCAAAAGTAGTGCGCGTTTTGCGAGTTTTCACTTTGACATGCTATAACTTCTACAGAAATCTACATTTTTCATAGCGATAAGAGGAGGCAGCGAACCTTTCGCAGTACAGCGCACATTTACTTATACTCATATCGCAAACGGGCAGAAAAATTTAAACTGATAAGCACCTCGTTTCTAATTGGTCATAACTCGCTTCAGAAGTTGTTAGTAGAGATTACAGGTAGCCTATCTTGTAGCCGCAAGCCAGTAGTACTAAAAAAGATGTAGAGAGCTCAAACAGAGATAATTTGCGAAAATGAAAGAAATAAAATATAAATTTTCGGCTTTTTCAACACATTTTCGTAAGCCTCAAAGTCCGAAAAATAGACTTTTTCTTTTTTGCGTACTAAACAGCCAAACGATTTTGCAAAAACTGTGAAAAGGAGCCCCAGCCTTATACTTAAAGAAATGAGCGAAGCTTTGATGTTTACTCTCTTCAAAGGATATTTGTGGGCTACGGAGTAACCAAAACGACTACCCAGCTTGAGGCATCAAAATCTTAGACTAGGTAATTCCTAAGGAGATAAAAAAGTGTGCATGATGTAGATAATTTCTATTACATACCGCAGCTATATTTTCGAATGAACTTTCATTTGCGCTTGAATTCTGGCCAGAATGGTAAATGAGATGAAATTCTGGTTTTGTGTGCGTTTGTGTGAAGCTTTATAAATTTCCAACGAGGCTAGAAGCCCGTTTCAATTACTTCGGATAGAGCATGAAAAGTGCTTCTTGAATGCTAAGCTTTTTCAAAAAACGAGAGTTTGATGGAAAAAGGTTGTCCTGAACAAGGGCTAGAAAAACGCACATTACTTTTGCACCGACCTAATAGTTTTGAAATGGAGGGGTCTTGAATCCAGTTTATTCTACATCGTAAAACAAGAAATGTGAACAGTCAACTACCATTTGACGCAACTCTTCTCCTGCTCCTAATAGCTATCCTCTTGCGAAAGGGATTAATTTACACAAAGTTGCCATACCTCTTAATTGCACGAGTGCGCGCTTGATACACCAAATTTTGCAATCTTTATTTTACTGCGATATTGCTAATTCAGTGTTAGTTAGTGATAGTAGCAATCAAGCTTTGGTCTGAAATTCTATGAATTTTGCTGTGGCTTATTTACTATGTGTTATGTTTTTCAAAACTCAGGGTTTTTGGTAAATTACCCAGCAATTTGTGAGAAGCAAGCTACAGGAAGGTAAAAAACTGTATGGATAATAAAATTTTTGCCCCCTTTGGCTATTGAAGCTCCTTCAAGAATCTGCGAAGAAAGCTGGAAAATTAGGAAGCTTCAAACAAGGTACAAACAAAGGATGTAAGCTGCTGCGATTATCTTAGCGTTCGCTTGAGAGATTACTTCATGAGCATAGCCGCTGGAAAAAAGTCTTCATAGGATAATATTAGGTCGTACCGAAAGTTCTGTCGTTTCAATTTTGAAAAATCATAACTTTGCGCTGTCACAATGGATTTACCACCTTATATTTTTATTAGAAAAAGCAAATCTTTCGCTTTCGAATGCTGTTTTGCGGAGCTCGCGATTCACACTGGGTGCGGAGATAAAAATGGAAAACTAAGACCATATAAGCTTTGACCATTTTAAGTTAGCTCACCAAAAATCTGGAATGCCGCAGAAAAATCTGAAATCGTCAGTACATATGTTTTATGACCTACCCTTTGCATCTGTGAAAAAATTGTGTTGTTTGGATGTCTCTGTGAGAAGTTATGATTTTCGCGAAAATTGACAAATTAATTAATTTTGGCCTTTTCCATAGAAAACTCGATATTCATAACTTCTCACAGAGACATCCAAACAGCACAATTTTTTCACAGATGCAAAGGGTAGTCAAAAAACATATGTAATGACGATTTCAGATTTTTCTGCAGCATTCCAGATTTTTGGTGACCTAACTGAAAATGGTCAAAGTTTACGTGGTCTTAGTTTTCCATTTTTATCTCCGCACCCAATATGAAACAGAAGCTACGCAAAACAGCATTTGAAAGCGAAGGATTTACTCTTTCTAATAAAAATGTAAGGGAGTAAATCCGTTGTGACAGCGCAAAGTTATGATTTTTCAAAAATGAAACGGCAGAACTTTCGGTACGACCTAATATTTGATCATCTTTGCTATATGGCATTTGCGGATGGGTTCAGAAAACTCCGCGCGACACGATAATATATGCAGGTTTAGTAGAAAAGCGTTTAATCTTCAAAACTCCCCTGCAAAGGAGATTTTGCATTTGCAGGCATTGTATTATAGGGCTGGCTTCGATACGAATTCGTAATTTGAAGTACTTGGTCGCTGTTATTACTGTAGGATTACGACACGAGCCTCGAAGAGGCCCTTGAGCCATTAAAAGCCCTATCTTGGCCCTGATAGGAAATTGAACGAATTATAGCAGAAAGTGTTCACTAGGCTTGCCAAGGTGTTGACGCCAGTATTATATGGATTCTGCACTTTACCATGACGCTTGGTTTATGAGTTATGCCAAGTGTGCCGTACAACGGTTTCACATAGTGTCTTTGATGTGATAACGCCATTTGAGAAAATTCATGAACTCATAGAAAGTTGAGTAGTAAATTAGGTAAAAATCTGGGTACACAAATTCCCAGATTTATGAAAGATTTTTCAATCGCTGTATACTGGAGAGTCTCATCGTAATTTTACAGTAATAAATAACGATCAGTGAATTGCAGCATACTGCAAGTTGACCAGACCTACAATACTTTTTTTTAAACCGCGAAAATTATCAGATCAAAAGTTCTGAACATTTTTTGAATATTCTTCATATTAAGAGTTTGATGAAGTGCATGTCACAATGGAGGAAACAGACTTAGATCAGACTTCAAACTCGGCCGCCTTTCCATCTGTTGTCGTCTACTTCGGTGGTACAATCTCCTACAGTAGCGATTTCTTAGTGCAAGTAGTTCTTGGAAGTAATCTCCTACCTCATTTACTTTATAATCATGCTTTTTCTTCATCCAACGCAGTAGTGGACCCGAGTCAAAGTCGTCCAGATCTTCCGGCAATTTTTTATTCTTTGTCTCCGGCATGATGATTACGGACGCCGCCGATAGCAGTGACATTATTACTATTACCAATGCAGGTGCGGATTTGTGAAAAGTTTCCTGAAGAGAGTTTCATATAACTTTATTGAGATAAGGTATATTTGAAGACCTACCAGTCTTTTGAGGTAAGGTGCAGCTACCGAACCGAGATCACCAAGAAAACCTACAATTCCACAGAAGACATTTCGTACAGAGGTTGGCGTTGCCTCCATGTACAGCAGCGGCTGGGAACACCATACTATCGTGTTGCATACCTTCGCCAGAAGCGGGAAAATCATGGCGATTTGCGGACGTACTGAACGTTCTTAGGTGATAGTTTATAGTTGTGACCGCTTCAGAAATATTCAGTAGAATTGTGGGACGTGGTACGAAATTTTGCATGTTAATCAGTTTGATAATGTTCAAGCAAATTTGGATACTTGTGTTTTCTAGATGCGACACTGCTAATATGACAGCTCCCACAATTCATTTCCGTTAAGGAACTATAAATTCGAGTTCAGCCCGACGGATCACCAAAGGCCCAGTTGCGCTGCAAGGTACAGCCTAAGCTGAAAATCAGAGTTTGGACTAGTGACTCTAAGTCATATGAACTGTCACTTGGGTAGCTTGGCTGAGAGCTCTCAGTCAGTATCTACTCAAAAAACCTAGTTGTCCAAATTTGTCTGGACAGCGCCCTTGAATTTGTCTTACGAAATTTGAAATGATGAAATCAAAAGTCAAGGAATGTTGGCATCTACGGTCAGGTTCAAACATCGACAATTCTTCTCTCCAAGAATGACTTGTAAAAAACGATTACTTTGAACTATTTGTGTAGGTTGAATCGTAGCCAAGTATCTGCAAAGCTAAATTGATGTACTGTAAGGCTGTGCAAAAATGTAGAGGCAACCAGGCAAATTCTAGTGCGTGGATTCATGTTATCTACAGATACTGGCTGAGAATCTTCAAGGAAGCCGTTGCCCGAGCGGCAACTTACATAATTCATTTGTGGCCCGAAGCTCGTAACCAAAGTCCAAACGAAACATCTTCGCGCAATCCACCCAGCTGGCACAGTGCCAGCTTGTGGCGACTCGGTGGGCTCATGGCACCTAGATGTTGCCCGAGGCCTGATGCTCGCCCGATAACAAACGACGTACCTAGCCTACTGCGCACTAACGCGCGAGAGAACTGGACGTAAGGCTAATTAAGTGGTTTATCGTTATGACACTAAACTACAGTTAAAATAGATAAAAAAGGAATGCTACACTAAAACAAAAACAAATACTACTACTACTAAAACACGGGACGAGGGCCCGTTCCATGCTACTGATGCGCGTCTACAGAAAATCTCAAAAATACATGAGGCTCTCGAGGTTTCGCGCAACAAATCCACCGCGCAACGCCAAGATGTAGAAGACGGCACGTCCCCTCCAGCTCATGTAGATGATTTCTGACTTGACATGAAATTTCAGTTAGTACTACGGCGCGCCGAATTGCGCTAACAAAAGGAATTCGTTCTCCAATCCAAAAGACATCCGGCTCAACTGCTCTTACGAAAAAGGACAGGAGCAAGGCGGCTGAAACGTAATTCGAACAAGATATTCAAAATCAATCAATAAGACGAAGGCGAACAAGGCACCCAAATGAGGCGCCGCCGCTTTATATAGCCGCCTGGCTGGCAACGAGCCAATAAAGGAGAGGTCCGGAAACGATCGCAGCAACACGCGTCTCGGCTACCGTGATCGTCGCCAGATAGCGCGGTAACCGATGCCCCCGGCCTCCGTACTTCGAGGAGCGCCTTGCATCGCGAGACGCGACACAGCTAATTCAGATGAAAGGTCAGCACAGCTTCCAGTCATCTAAGTCTTCAAAAATTCTTGGGCTATAGTTTGGGTCCCCCAACGCGCATGTACATGCAAATTTGGTGTCATATGGTTGCGTTTTGTTCGTACAGTAAGTTTCAACCTAGTCTAGGCGGAAACTGGACTGGCGGGAGTCCGCTTCGCAGCGACTCGCTGCACTTTGAGTCTGCGTCTCTTCATTGTAGTCGTCTCGCTGAGACTGTGGCGGTGCGAACGCGCTGCTCCACTTGAAATGTTTCCCCTACTTCGGGTTAGAAAAGACTGTAAACAAGACTATTGTTAGTGGAACAAAATTATATTTCTACACTGTGTTAGCACCGTCATAGCGGTGCTAACACGGTGTAGAATCATCGGCAAACAAACAAACATTAAACAAACAACAAACGAACATTCTATCAAACATCGGCATCTAATCCCCAGAAACGATTCCAGCTTGACCCAGTGCCAGCTGTGCCGAGCCCTGATTTGAGCTGCCGCTTGGGCGATTGCTTGACAATTGCGGAATTAACTAGCAGTGAGGCATATTGGCATTTATTGGAGACCGACATGAGGGCAAGGAATGGATATGGTATCATAGGAGTGTAAGTGCGAAAGTAAGAAAGTCGACTTACCTGGCAGATACAGTGCGCAAGCCATACAACCTGCTTGCAATGTAAGCGACAACACTGACACTGTTTTTCTATCGAAGTAAATCTGCATCACTTGAATTAGATGTTATACACATAGATGCCAATAAGATTACCAGAAGTGCTATAGCGACTATTGTTGCAGGAACCTCTACTATACCGGAGAGAAAGAACCCTGTCATTTTATCCTCGCTAAGTTCCGTGGAAAAGAGTGAAAGCGCCCAGTAAACCCCGTTCATAACAATTCTAAATCAGGTCGTTTCGACGAACACATATTACATAAAAGAGATCGTGACTCACAGGACATATGAGTTGAGGATAAGGTGAAAAACAAGCGCGGGGCTTTCAAAAATGTCCAAAAATGTTCGATTCTTCTGTTCATTTGCTGCAAGATCACCTGTTGATTTGCACTGATGTAATGAAATTTGTACGCGATTGAAGCGAGATGATGTACGAATGTATCTGAAACAGACTTACACAAACACTTCATTTTCCCTTATGCAATCATACTCGTTTTGGCAATCACTTTGTGCATTTGCACTTTTGCGCTAGAGCGCCGCGTTTGCGGGCGTACGCCTTGAGTGTTCGAATTTGCCGCATTGATTCGGGAACCGCTGTGGATGCGTAGCTGCTACGGAAGAGGGAGCACGTGTTTGTTACAGAGTAAGCACTAACCTCTAGTCAAAGATTGAGCTATTTTTGCTCCATTGCTTTGTTAGTTCATTGAGCTGTAATGCGTATAAATTTTCGCTATTTGTTCCTATCTTTTAATTAGTCGGTCTCAGTTTTTTCAGGCTTGAAGAGTCATATTGTCACGTACTATCTATGCCCTGATCATGCGCGCGCATTGAGCCCCAAAGTGGGTAATCTTATTAGAATGTCTTTTCAATTTGCACCGCACCTCGGTTAGGTTTTTGCATAATGGAAACGGTCGCTCGAGTGTTTCAGTGAATCGAACGTTTTACTATCCGCGAATATCCTTTGTTTTTTAGTGAAAGTATGAGCACCATCGATTACACACCTAGTTCGCCGTCTTTTACTCGTTTAACACATCTACGACCGAGCCGTTTTGAGAGAAACTCCCACATTTGCGTGCACACACGTGCCTACAGAATCTTTATGTGAGAGTGTTTTGACGCTCATTCAAAGGAACATATAAAATTTCTAAACTCAAGTGCATCATAGAGTCAAAGAATTATTACACTTATTTATGATTGATTTTTCGCGCTGCTTTTCTTCCAACAGAAAATGCATTGCTACGACTGTGGAACTCCCATGAGAAAACATTATACTGCGTGACTTTTTATGGACATCCCTCTTGATCGCTATTATTTATAGCTAACAAAGTTTTGCCTTTTCAGATAAACATGATTAGCCTATATTATATTTACAACTGGGCTGGCTATCTACAGTATTGGCCTAAGATAAATATAGCGTAAACCGGCCAGATTCCCATAAGTACCCCCGCGGCGCTCCCGCGGCGCATGCCTTCAGTGCGCCTTTCTTTTCCTCCAGTGAAAATTAAAATGTTTTTTTCTTAGCTGACTCTGTACTGTTTGTGAACGTGCACTTGCAAACGTTTTCTTCATGCTTAGGCTATTCTCGAGCTGAGATTGGTAGTTTTCACTTCCCAATTTACTTGGTATTGAAAAGCTGAAAGCGTAAGCTCCAGGGTCATTTGTACAAGATAGCCATAATGACGTACTAAGAAAGAAATAGTGATAAGTGGTAATGACAGTGGTAATGATACTTAGTGGCCTAATTGTCGTGTAGAACACGTAACATTGCGGAAGGTATAGTGTTCGCCCCGGCCAGCTTCCAGTAGGTACCGCCGCGGCACATACACATCGCTCGCTCGGCCTCACGCTGCTCGTCTTTTATCATGCTTACTGTACGTATGCGTTGGTAGGCCAAGACGTATGTGCCATTTTGCATAATGGGCCTACCTGACATTGTTAAAATATCATGTTATCGCTAACATCAGTATCCGTCGATAACGACTTCCCCATCCCTGACCCCTTGATAGGACCCCTAGGTATAGCATGCCACTGCCCACGCTTGACCTTCCATTACTGCTTAGGCACTCGCCATCCGATCCGCTTAATCCACTTAATCCGCTTCACTATTGGTCAGTTCACTGATTCGACCAATGGTGAAGCGGATTAAGTGGATCAATTGCATTAAGCGAATCGTATGGCGCATCCCTTGATGCATAGCTCCTAGTAAATTGGCGTGCATATTCAGGGACGCGCGAAAGGGTTATTCGAAAAGGGTTCCTGATGTGAGCGTTTGTCAGCGCGTGCACTCCCGCGTACGCAAGCTTGACACGTCCTTAAGGCTGCGTTCAGACTGATTTCGAAATCCGGGAACAGTCCCAATACAGCGCTTGAAATGAGCGCTGTGTTGAAGCTGTTCCCGGATTTCGAATTCAGTCTGAACGCAGCCTAACGCGACAAGGTTGAGCAAGCACTTTGGATTTGCTGAAGTTAAAGTGTTAAAAGGAGAGAAAGGCAGCGAGCTGAGCATGCAAGCGGTGATATATCGTGGGAACCTCGCCGGGGAACGGGGCCCAGCATGAGTTGTTTCTAGGCTTCTTGAAAACGAAGTCCCCCTTGACTTTCGCGAAATTGTGCGGAATCTCCTTTGACTCTCAGCCCCAAACGTAAAAACCCACAAAATTGAAGCTTCGACTAAAGAACGTCAATTTTTGGCCATAAAAACGATACTATCATTACTTTTTCGCACCGAAAATGAAGTCTATCACCTGCCTCTATATGATCTGCGCTGGGCCTCGCTGGGGAAGAGAGATACCGAAAGGAATTTGAACGCTAAGTTTTCTTTTACTTCGTGCAATCGTCCCGTGTTTCTTGTTGATCGTTCAGCATTGTTTTCTTGTGAAATAACCTTACGTCACCTTGAGATCCATCAGACTTCGAAAGTGCAATCGCGCAAAGCGGTCGCCGGAATAATAAGTGTAAAGTGAGCATCTTGAATGCTATGCAGAGCATCTTCAATGTCAAAAATCCATATCAAAGTTCTTACTTCAAGACTCCCTTCTTTTTCTTGTTGGTAATGAGCCAATGAAGGGATTCCGGTGTAACCCTAAATCAAATGTTTGTTGAGATAGCGACCACAATGGATGCTTTACTTTAAAATCTTGTTATTTATGGTCCGGATAATATTTTGCGACGCTTATCATGTGGAGGCTGATGTCTAATTATGCATTTATATATATATCTTCAGTATGCCCATGGTTGAGAATAAAAATTAAGCAAGTATTCTCTATCACTGTGTGTAACACTATGTAAGAAGACACTCAAGGAAATTGTCCTGGCAAATCTGGGCGCCTAGACGTCCTATCAGGCTGCTGCATAAGTTCCGTCCGATTTGAATTTTTGACTTCAAAATATCATAAGTTCTTTCAAATCAATTTTCCATAGTCTTACCTCTGTGTGTTGAGTACTTCTTTAGCTATCAGAGAAATACTAGTTTTTGCAAAAGATCCTGAGAGGGAAGAAGCAAGAACTAAAAAACTTCACAGCGTTCCTCTTTAAACCTGTCTCTTTTGACATGGCAATGCTTCCCTATAAGGAGCTCACATGCACATTGAGTAGCCATGGGTAGACAGATTTCGAAGATTATTCTACAGCATAAAAGTGCGCATGAGATCTTCGGTCCCAAGAGATTTTTTTGACCAAATAAAAAACGAAGCCGTTTTCAATTTCGTTTCATTACATATATGTATGCCAACTATCAAATTTTGAAGATTTCGCACTTGCGGCGAGAGGTGAAAACTAATTGGTGGCGGGGCTCTGCTAGCTCTTGCTTTACTCTAGCACCTCCCACATTAGACTCATCGATTGCCTCTATTCACGGGAGGTTATTGCTCGTAGAACTTTTGTACAAATAATTATTCTTTACCAGCGAATTTTACTAGCAAGACGTTTTTAGACATGAAAATGAGTTTGTGCATATACTAGATGATTTCAATCTTATTCCGTGACCAATACAAGGACTAAACCTGGGTTATATTGTGGAGATTCTCTCGCAAGGACATTTTTTTGAGCTAAGAACGCGTGTCGTGCCTCTATATTCACAGCGTGATTGCTTGAAAAAATGCTATTATTTGGAAATCATCAACCTGCAATTTCGTCAGAATGGGGAATTTGGAAAAATATAATATGTGTTAGAAAGAGCAAGAAATGTGCTTTTTGATGATATAAATAATCATTGCCAGTGAGAATCTGTTATACGGCTGCTTCAAACACAAAGCAAAAAGATCGGACAGGACTTACGCAGCAGCCTAGTATATGGGATACAGCATGAGGCCTTGACGTAGCCATTTTCAGCAGGCAACTCATGGGATCCACTCTCTTGTAAACTTGACTCTATACTTACCGTATTCGAGGACGCAGTGGGTTGCAGTCTTTGGACAATGTCTTATTTAGGACTCCAAAGTATTCAAATAAGAAACCCAGATTGCTGGACTTTTCTTCATCCGAATCATCCTGCCGTTCTCTCTTCCAAGCATAAAATGGATAATAAAACACGCCTCCCAGCAAAGTTACATCAGCCCAATTTTGTTCGTAATGGGACGAAGAGGTACTTTTTCGTTATACTGACCTCTTTTCTCAAACAAATTAAGAACTATGTACTGCATGTTTGCACGGAAATAGATGCTGATTTTGCCAGGATTTATCTGCCACGGGGGTACGAACGTGGAATCAGCACCCAACCTTTGCAAATCCTTGAACCTGCTTCAGGTCTACTTCGCAGCTCTTCGCAAAATCCTGAGGACTTATACTGCATACAAATCTAGCCCCTATGCAATATCGATTCTAAATGATTGTTTTCAAGTCTCTCCAGACGCAGTCAATGCTTGAAGTTGGCTTGCACTGATACACGCTACACCTGCGCAAACACCTTTACTACACTCCTGGTGCCTCGAAGATCATTTCTTGTTCGGATTTCTCAAACATTTTTAGAAGAACATATCAAAATATTGCCCTGAATAACTTGTTTTGCCTGAATGTGCTCTGTCTTGATGCGCACTTCAGCATCTATATCAACACAAAGTTTGAAAATTGTTATATGGGAACAACTTGCTCGTGGGCATATCCCGGGAGATGTTTGAGCAAACGTGTCAACATGCCATTGACACGTGATTAACTTTCTTTTGGATGAAGTTTGGACCATATCTGGCAAAGCAAAAGAACAAATTCTTTCCCTGCAGAGGTGTCGCGTAACGGAAAACTACCCAAGAAGAGGAGAATGTTGCATGAAAAGCAGCATAGAGTTTCTTGTACGATACCAGCCGAGTACTTTGTTATCCGACGAGTTTTTTCATCAAAAGCAGACACGTATTAATCAAATTCGAGTAATAATGAAAACTCAAAGCTTCTGTCAAAGGTGGCTCTCAATTTGTTTTCAAATATTACATTAAGCAAAGAAGGGGTAATGTAGGTTTCGCATCCAACTCTTTCGATAGTGATTTTCATAATGAAGTGTACTTGCCAGTAATAAGGGATTGTTAGTAATCCAGGCACCGAAACAGCGAAGTAGAGCCAACGCCAGTTTGAGATGTATAAATGCATGACTCCTGCAGCCATATACCTGTCAACGGAAGATAATGAACACCCTGTCGAATCACTTGTCACCATTTGACGCCTTACCCAATGACCCAAGTCAGACTTCCCATTAGCGGAGTGATCGAGCGGAATTCCATTGCAACAGACTCCATACAAAGGACCCAACTAATGGCAGAATAACCCTAAGTGGGAGCCACCTAGATGCAAAGTATAAGATTTTTCCAATTTCATTCCATGGCTAATGTTGGGCATCGGACTACGACTGTAGTTGCCAGCAGAATCCACTTAAGTTGTCTCACATTTGCACATCTAATTACAATTATAGTATTTGAGCAGACCTTGCTCTTCAAAGTATATGCATCTGGCGTCGCCCAGGTCTACACGTGTGTCCTCTCATGCTCAGCACAGACGGGCACATGCCGCGACGCTGCATGCGTCGATCACCTCAGGGTAAAATCATCTTTACTCATACAATAAGATAAAAATAGATTCAGTTTCAGAAGTAGCAGACGAGTGAAAGATCTTCTCGATGTACTGCAACTTTTGTTGCACTATAAGTTCGCAAAAGAAAGAAAATAAGTCTTGTGCTAAGGATTTTCTAAAGAGAAAGAAAAAAGCGCATTGCTACAAGTGATAGCACTGGAGTCAATTTTGTGATTCCTTTCATTCATTCTTTCTTGCAGTTAACTAGAGTCAATTGTTTCCGTTCATTCATTCTTTCATACAGTTATCGATCCAAGCTTCGCCGATCCATGCAAGTTATCTCGTGACAATGATACAAAGAAAATCAATTTTTAAAGCGTTGTTCGTGCAGGCTCGGTGTGAAAGCAATTGCCCTTGGACTCACCATTGCACAAGTGAAGTCATGACATTCGATTGAAGGCGAGAAATAAACTTGTTTGTGAAATTTGCATTTCATTGGTGAAGCAGGGCGAGTTTAAAGCCTCAAATTGCGAGGAGAACATTTCGCTGCAGTTCCAAGCAGCGTCCGGACAAATTTTCTTTTTCGTCATTCTTAAGCCCTTCCATGGCCCCGATTCCGAAACTAAAGTGCAAATTGCGTGAAAACCCCGAACCCCGTTTTGGAAACTTTGCTTTGATTGGTGCGGACGAATATTCCAGTGCTTAAACAGCGTGATGCAACATGAAAACATGTTTCTTAGATATCTTCTATCTCAAGCCATTCGACCCTCGCGGACCATCTCGCTTCGGCTTGCGCGAAGTTGCGGAAAGTTGCGGACCCACCTCTGACGTAGCGTGGCAACGAATCACGGGCGAAATTCTGTGCCACACCGATGGATGCGTGCGTGGCAACGAAGCAAAACTGCCGCTTGCCCACATCATGTTAAGGAGGGACATATGTGTTGAGATAGAGGGGTAGATACATGGCTTGCAGTTGCCATGTGAAAGTGAAGCGCACAACCTGTAAGCTCGTCAGTTCAGGTGTGAGCGGGCAGAGAGAAGTCAGGGGAGCAGCCTTTAGACCGTACATGGGCTTTAGAAGTCGCATTCTCTAAGCAAGCTCAATGATTCTTTCCAGCCGGGGGAGGGGGAGGGGGACGTATCCCTCACTATCATCATCTGAAAGGAAGAATTCCAAATCGCTGCGGCCACCTGGAACGAAATGCATATCATTAAACTAGTTGGTTTTTTCCATATCTACCTTCCATATTTGCTATGCGGTTTCTGGACGAGGTTATGAGCAACTAAAGTCTATTTATTAAGGTTCCAATTAATGATGTGCATCAAAAAAGCAATCTTGGTAGTGCACAATCAGCATGACGGTGGGTGTACTGACTAGAAGGAATACATGTGTACACCGGTAACATAGATAAGTGTTTTAGAAAGCTCCTTCTTAAAGTTATGGCACTGTCTGAATTCCAAATTCGGACCTTCAAGCGCTCCTAACTTCTTCCAGAGAACAGCACAGCAAATACGTAAATCGGATCCAACAGACTCAACAAAGATTCAACGAGATGCTTCTGTGACAAAATTTCGAATGCCGCGCGACTTGGGATCCTTCACTAGAATATGCTGTTGAATGCCTCTTGCTTTTGTAATTGTGACATCACTTGGAAATAGCACAAGGCATATAGGCACTTAAAAACTTCCAGTTCCTTAGACACTTTCAAAGATGTTTGCTGAAGTAGGTTGCGCCAGCATGCGCTTTGTACCACCGCAAGCTTCGTCATAGCACTGTGCGTTCGTAGGGTGTGCCGATCACGGGACGATTAAGGCTAAATTCGAACGGAGCTTCTACAAATTTCATTTTGGAAATAGTTGTATTTACGGGTAGAGGCGCATTTTTCGGATATCTTTACCGATCATGTCTAATAGAATGCAAAGTGGTACCAGGATGTTTCTTCAATACCATCTGTAAGCATACTCCGAACGCATTCTACTTCGTAGTCGAAGACGCAGGTGAATGCGTGAAGGCTTTTGCAATGGATTGAGAGGCCACCAAATCATCAAATGATGGCTTTTATCCTCCCAGATTACTCTGGTACTAATTTGGTTGGCCCCGCGGCAGGGATCGGACGTTAGTCCGACTTGTCAAAGCGGCGCCTCACCACTACGCCACTCGTCCCCTATGTAGACATTATAATACAAACCAATTAGCGTCCTCGAACACAATAGGAATTAAACATTCCTCGGCTATTAATAAATTTTACAAGCTGCCGTCCGTTTGGGCGTTGGCCTAGTCAGGGTCCTTTGATTAGACCACATAGGACGGACACTGCCTTTGAGAGAGGAAAGAGGTAAAAGAAATTTTCAATTCGTAACGACCATGACTCAATGAAAATAAAATTCTGGAATTCCATGCTTACCGATGAGGCCACTCCAGCTATAAATCTGAAGATCAGAAAAATTGCATAGCTTGGAGCGATGGCACAGACTATATTAGCTACCACAGCTACATAGAGCGGAATAAGAAATGTCATGCGTCGACCATATACATCCGACAACTGCGTGATAACGGGAGCAACAATCATTCCACCTATAAATGTGCCTTTAAAATCCTGAGATAGAAAAGCGAATATGCAAGTTACCCAGCATGAATACGGAAGCGCCATGTTCAACGGACTCGTAATTGTCACAGACCAGATTGAATTCACTAGCCAATGATTCGTGATTCACATCGGAGTAATTGTATCTAAAAATTTTGCAGATTTCAAACTCTCTTAATTTGTACAAAAATTATTCCAACCTGGCGCCAGGTATCTTATCGCATGTAAACGTCCAGTTGTTTCCATCTTTCACATGACACTTATCCACTATAGTGTATTCCTAAAAACAGAAAATCTTTTCGGGATTTTGCCACAGAATTTTTGCAGTTAGTACCCATTGCACTCCTTCAGGAGGTGTAATTTGGCATTCAAATTTTGGATCCTCCGTTATGAACGGCATTATCATCATGTTGGTAGCAAATAGAATATGAACGCTGTTCAGGATTAGATGTATGACCATCTAATAAATTTCATTCGTCTATCTAACATTAAGATGAAAGGTGAAAGAACACTCACCTGATATCGCCCATACTTGCCAAATGCTGATAAAACCTTGTCAGCATCTAAATGTAGGTAGTCTACGACAGAAGATGACGCTAATCTATGATCGAAAGTACCCAAGGATGTCATAGCCTGGAAGGTTCTAGAGATCAAAACCAAGTGTATATCTTTCACAGCATCTTTTCGTTCAATTCAGCTCGAACCCGGCGTTATAAAAAGCTGCTACGATTCCGCCGTTTTGCAAGTAGAAAAAAACCTGTTTTTTCTAGATGTCGTTTTCTTTGAAAAAACGTTGTAAAACTTGTTTACAATACGTGGCGCTTGATTTGACTTATGGTTGATTTTATAGCTAATAATGCCTACGGTTATTTCTCCATGTTGAAAGTGGTATGACCAATATCGACACTCAGCAAAGATGTATGTTTTAGAGTAAAAATCATGTATGTATAGTGAAATAAGTTTTTTTCACCATATTGCGCATCATTTTTGTATACCTCGTATGTGTTACAAATGTAAAGATAAGCGAAAACGTAATTCCCCTTGCTGAGTCGCGTGTCGTCCCCCCTCCTCTCGAAAATGGGTCGCGAAATCTTCGAAAGTCTCTTGCATGAGTTGAGAAACTGCGTAAGCGAATTGTTTATACATTTACGCCAAGCACCAACATTCTAGGATGATTTTTGTACTCTCTCCTCCCCCCCCCCCCGCTGAGCGGAAATCCTGGGTACGCCACTGGTAGATTTATCGGGCTCACGTTTCGGCGCGTCTCCGCCTTCTTCAAAGCCCGAAAACTTCGAAGATATTCGCGGTCTATCATCTCTAGCGCTTCGTTTTCATCATATCGGTACAACTAAACAACCAAATGAGCCAGAAACAGACTAGAAGACGCTAATGAGGTTGGCGCTTATCTTATAGTCTTGCAGACAGAGGAAGCGACCACCGAGTAAAGCTGCGGCGCTATTGATAGTGTCAGCGCCCTCGCTCTTCCTGGCTGGACCTGACAGCCCCCATAGATCAAAATCCGCATGTCGAAAAGCTGCCAGCCCGTTTGTGACGGCAATGATTTTTTTCCATTTATTTTGAGTTTTCGCGTACAAATCCAGAACGCCTTGAGTGTCTTGCCTGTTATAGTTTGAGGTTCGTCAGATAAGATTGGAAACGTGCAGTTGTAATGGATGTGGTGTTTTAATGACAGAGCCTGCTGCTACAGATGTTACATTGCTTCCATTTTGCGCTTTATCGCTTTCCCATGCCGTGGCTCGAAACCTGATTTTAGCTGCTATGGTCTTGGAAATGTAATGATGAAGGGCAGGATAAAAGGTTCAACAAGTTTCAATACCCTGACCAAGCATGCCATCAGGTTACATTGTACAGTGCTGGTCAAAACTGTAGATCCACCCTGAAACTGTCAGTTCACGATTGATCTGAAATTTGGTACGGCTGTGTGTCAAACAGGCTACCATCAGTAATCAGAACGGATCCTGCTTTCGTTTGATTATGCAGGAAAAATCAAAATTTTGAAAAAAGCAATCTTGAAGGCTGGTCAAAACTACAGATCGACCTAAAGTTTCTGTACACTAAGGTGATTGTCGGCTTTCAAATTTTTTTCTGCATATACATAGTCAAAAGTCAAAACAGTCACTTCAGTCCGGATGTGTTATTTCTTTATAAGAAACGCTTATCAGCTTTTCCTTTTCACTCAAAAACTTCCACGCGTAGTTTGTTCCCGAGAATGTGTTTTCACAGGTAATTCCGCAGTTTTTTAACTGGTTTGGAAGCGATTGGGCTCCATATCTTATAGCTCCGAAATGAGCACTAAAAATTTGAGTATTCGTCCTCAAAGCGCACCCGACATAGACCTTCGTAGGCCTGCGTTCAGATTTGTGCCTTCAAACTCTTTCTGCAATATTCTTGCGATCTTGAAGTGGAGTAATGACATTGTATGTATGTATGAGGGTCCGTGTGCAGCGGTTGCAGACCTTTGCAGATCTTAGTATGCAGGCTAATTGAGGAATTATCCTGCAAAGAGTGATTTGCAACAAGCCTTGAAGTTATTTCTGGTTTTGACCATAATGCTTTGTGAGTCACAAGGCAACATAAAATACAGGGTGTATTCAATAATTAGCGGCTATAGTGGCAAAAAAATCAGGGGTATCACTTGATAAGTATTTTGATATGGCCTAACATTATCATTGAACCGCGAAGATTTATGCTTTAAAAACGAAGCAAAATGTGACTTCGCGAACAATCGTGAGTATGGTATACAAACTTCTTTCTATGTAAATAATGCTTCTACATCAGTTTGAACTTACTAAAATAGCATAAACCAATTTTGAAGGCAAGAATTTGAGCTCAGACTTGCTGTTAGGTTTATGTCGTGTGCGCTTCAAATACGAAAACTCAAATTTTCTTTCTAGTGCTCACTTTGCTAAGCACCTTTAAGATAGACGGAGCCTTATCGCTTCCAAACCATTCAAAAAATTGCAAAATTACCAATAAAAACACATTCTCAGGAAAAAGACGCATGGAAGTATTTTTGAGCAAATAAAGCAGATAAGCGTTTCTTTTAATTAATGAAGCTGGACTAAAGCGACTGTTTTGACTTTTGATTATATACAGGGTGTTCCAAAACACTGTTTGATCGTTAATAACTCTCTTGCTTTCAAGTCTTTCGCCGAGCTTGAGGCGCCATTCTGTAGAGCGAGGTTCAACTTAGATTTACAGCGTGAAAAAGAATTTTCGGTCTTTATTTGTTACTGTACTGTGGTGCTTCGTTCATAAGCTAATTTATTTTAGGGTAGCAATTTTTCCAAGGTTTATCAAAAGTCCGATTACACCATTGAAAGAGCTCAAAAAACTGGTGAAAAGTCGTGTACTGGAATCGGCACGCCTAAAAACCTTACCATACGGGATTTTTCCAATAAAAGGCCTATTCCACAGTGGCACAATATGCTGAAAGTTTATACCGTAATCCTATAGTAACGAAGAAAGATCGGAAATTCCATGCTGAAAATCTAAGTTGAACCCTCGCCCTACAGAATGGCGCCTCAAGCTCGGCGAAAGACTTGAAGACAAGAGAGTTTTTAACGATCAAACAGTGCTCACATTTTTTGGGACACCTTGTATATGCATAAAAGACTCTGGAGGCCGAGAATTACTTTAGCTGACAGAAACTCTAGGTGGATCCATAATTTTGGCCGTCAACTGATTACTCGACACTATGAGAGAAATTTAAGTGAACATTTCATTGAAGAACTATAGAGGCAGGGCCCCTCACAGGTAATAAAGCAGGGTAGATATTATTTTTGAAGTAAAAAGACCATGCCCTCTGCAAAATGTTCGGATTGACCCGAAACAGTTTTTTAGAGGAGCTAATGGAAGATATGCCAACCAAACTTACCAACCCAACAGTTTCATTGCCCACGCCTAAAAAACTTCCCGACGGTCATTGTCACATAAAGTTGACCCCCTCCCCCTCGACCACTAGTCTACCTCATCTCTGTGGACGACCAAGTGCTCATCACTGCCTTACTTCCAATTTCTGTTAAAGCGACAATTTTTGAGCTCTAGTATGGTCTTTGTAGGAATTTACGATTGTCAAAATTGTACTCCAAAACAATCATATAGTCTCTTTGCAACGTACATGCAATGATAAATAGCCAGATAAGCGATGGGCATTTGGAATTATTTGCGACAGATCATGCAGAAGCTGCTTGAATCGAAGAAGCTATTTTATTCCCTAAAATTGCATCTATATTTCCAATGCTGTTGAAAATTCCTAAAGTTCCAAACTCCTTCCTCCTCGCTTAATTAGCTAAAAAGTAATCTGTAGGTGGTTTTGCTTCAGTGTACATTAGTGCGCGTAAGATAACATGCAGCCAAAGCAGACAGTACAAGCCACCATTCTTTTTCCCTAACGGATTTGATAAAGTCGAGTGTACGAAATTGCTCGGTTTGCTGTAGGGTGAGCGCACGCGAGCGTGCTTGCAACGCGGCTGCGTACGGACGCTATAATGACTCATGCGCGCGAGTGCCAATGTTAGCCCGCAAGAGACACGCTAGCGGGGTTCGGGCGATTCTGTGCAGTCAACTATACCCTTTCAGTGACTTCGTAAGTCGTATTCTTTATCGATTTCTCTTTATAAAAACTCTATAGTGCATGTCATAATCTTGTTGTGAAGGCAACAAGGTCCTCGTTTCCAGAAATTGCTGCATGTGTGGCTCCCTTAAATTATTCAGCCTTGGTTTTGTGACCAAATGTCATATCCGAAGCTAAGAAAGCACCACCAAGTTTTAAGAAGATCCAATTAATCTATCCAAAACCAGAGCACGTGTTGTTGTCTGTTCACTTTCTAGTCAGCCATTTTTTAGCTTTCCAGTCGCTGATTTATCAAAAATAAGGTGGTTCGGGATGAGATGGAGAACTCGAAAATATAGAATGTGGTGGCTCCAAAATCAAGGCTTTGAAAGTTCATGTTATTGTTCAGTCTGCACTAGTTGAAACATTGAGATTAAGAAAGATCAATTGATGGAGACTGTTCATAAAGGCACGTGTGAGTAAAAAGAGAGCAAGGCTTACATTGGGTTAAAAACCATGTTAGGCATCGGTCAACTGGAGGAGCTAATTTTTGTTTCCGGGAAGTTGCTTTCGCTGTTCTGACAGATTGATGAAGCGTAAAATTTGATAGACGAAAAGAATTTTATAATGTTATTAACTGTATAATCGGCTCGGCTCTGTCCATGTTGACGAATTACGTAGAGTGACTTGCTTTTACTTCAAAATTGTTTTTTTGTCAGGCTTAATATTCCTTTGATAGCCAAAAACTTGCTTGATGCGAGATTGAGTTTGTCGAAAAAGTTGATTTGGAACAATTGCGTTGTGCTGAATTCCAGAACTGCAAGCGGAGAAATTATGCAGCAACTAGTACAACTCGTTCCAGTAATAATCTTTGATTCAACTGACTTGGCGGCTAGAAGGCGGGGCTTTTGACTTAATTAAGGCTGATCGCGTCCGCAACGCAGTCTGCGTCTCTCCTGCGCGCATGCTCTCTGATCATCACCTAGCTTAGGTTACAAAGCCCCGCCCCCCAGTCTCCAAGGCAGTTGAATGAAAAGGGTTGTTTCAGGCTGCCGCACTGACCGCAGCAGACTGCAGCAGACTGCACCTGACCGCACCGACTGCAACGCCCGCAACGGCTGAAGCCTAAAGGTGGAGAGGATAAATAGTTGTGGCCAGGGTCGAGCAAAAGGTGTGGCACGCAACCGCCGGATACGACCCCCCCCCCCTCTCCTAAGTTCTGCCTCGATACTCCTCCCCCCCCCTCCCCATTTTGGTTTGCCTGCAGTAGGCATTACGTAAAGCTTTATCTAGCATGATTAGTAACATATTTGTGATTATCATGTCAGAGATTCCTCTTGGGCCAAGTCTTAGCGAATTCTGGGGTTCAATATTGGGCCACTCAAATGAAGTGGCCATTTTCAAAAATGATTAACTATATTTCAAAAGCATTTACTACCTTTTCTTGTGCTCAACGAAGCATTACTCCCTATTAGCCAAACCATAGATTCTAATTCAAATGACCATCAAACTTTAAAATTAGGAGCGAGCCAAAATCCCGTTTGTCCCATTTTTCGCTTGCAGTGGTTGTGCCTACAGCAACTATTGCTCAAACGAATTCAGTTCTAACCTTTGATTCAACTGGCTTGGCTTTGGAAGAGCGGGGTTTTGTGACCTAATTAGGGCCGCTTGCGCCAGCGACGCGCCTACTCTCTCTCACGCGAGTGCTCTCTGATCATTACCTAGCCTTAATTAGGTCACGAAGCTCCGCCTTCCCGAAGCCAAGCCAGTTGAATCAAATGGTAATCACTTCTACAAAAACTACGGGTTCTTGGTCTACAGGTGTGGCACAACCCGTAAAACGCTGTGGCGGCCACAGCTTTTTAAGGGTTGTGCCACATTCCATTGACTTATTTGCAAAACCATTCAAATCTCTGCGTTTTTTGGATCGTTGCTATTGCCCAACCTTCTTCTGCACACAGTAGGAAAATCATTTTGAATCGTGTCTTTTAGGGAAAGGTATAGTCGTTTCCCCGCATCTATGCAAATGGAAAATATTGCGAAAATATTGGGTTACGGTAACATCCCCTAGTCTGCGCTACTATGTAAATTGCGAAAGATACCGACACGGATAAGTATATTTGATAGAATAAGCCTCATAATTTACACAAAAGTGATTTGAGCCTGACGGTCCTTTCTTATCTAAGATATCAAAAGCAGAAAATGGAACAAATGAGATTTTGGCTTGCTCATAGTTTCATAGTTCGGATGTTATACGAAGTGGGATTCCTAATGTGAGCTGAGAGGTAGTGGTTTTTTTCATTAAATGCAGAAAGAAGTAGTTAACTTACCTTTGAAACGAAAGTAGCATGTCTGAAAAATACTATTTACTTGAGCCCAATATTTGGGAATCTCAAAATCCGTTGAAACTTGATCCACAAGGTTATTTGACATTACATTCTAGTTACCAAAATGATGCTTTTATGTTTATAGTGCTCTTTTATTACGCTTACTGTACGTATACTATGGTAGGCCAAAACATTGATGTGCAGTATTTTGCACACTGACTATCTAACATTGAACGATTATCATGTTATCACTAACATCAGTATCTACTTTGATAACGACCCCTCCCCCCTCCCAGACCCCTCAATACGACACCCCAGCTGTGGCCTGCCACACCCCACGCTTGACCCTGGCTGTGGCTCAAACAAACAACAACAGTATATATCTAAAAGCAAAAGACAACACGGGCTAGAATGTTACAAAACAGGTATATGCAATGATAGGAGGAATTAGAACAAATACGAACATACCAAAAAAAACTATCTCCAAAATTTGATTGAGAAGAATTGTGGAACTTATGACCTTCTTAGGCGTAAATCACGCTGTTTTGACAATGGCGGTTGTTTTTCTTCTACGAAAGGAGGCAGCGACGGTGTGGTCAGTGCGGTCAGTGCGGTCAGCTGCAGTCAGCTGCAGTCTGCTGCAGTCTGCTGCAGTCAGTGCGGCAGTCTGAAACAACCCAAAGGGTACACGGTCTCATTGTAGTTTCGCAATCGGCGTGCTCGCTTACCCCTCCCCCCTCCAACTCCCAGTGTCCCAAGTGTAGCCTGTCCCAACCGGATCAGGCCCGGCTCGTTCTCTCAAGTTTGCGCATTCGCACCGCCAGAGGTTTGCGCTGCATATGCAAGCTATCGGAGAGAGCGAAGAAACTGAAGAGAGAGCAGACAAGCTAGCCGAAAACGGTGCAAAACCGTGACACGGGCCACGCCATGGCAATGCCCGATTGAGATTAGCAGAAACTTTGGACCTTGCACAAAGTGGATAAGATTGGCAGACGATCGATAATCGTGGAAGTAAATTGCGTTCGACAAAGTGTTTAGATACAAGTGCAAAAGAAAACTGATAATGATAAATAGTCCTTATCTGTCCATGAAACATGAAGTCAAAAATCGGTCTTCCTGACTGCGAAGTATTCGTTGCCATATCTGGTCCTCTTCCATATGTTTGTTCACTATGACTTCACACGAATGTCAATGCAATATAATTATCGGGGAAAAAGGATTGTGGCTGAAAAACTGGTAGGTTCCGCTCTTCTAGCGGCCTATTTCTGACAAAGGAGACCTTTTTAGTCGAAGTGGCCTTTTCACAACACTTATATCACTGTGTAAAGCATTGGACGGCAGTGGCGGACCGAGAGGGTGGGCGGGAGGAGCGCCCTCCCCCCCCCAAGAATGGGTCGCGAAATATTTGAAACTTACCTATATGGGTTATAAAAATGTGCAAATGACTTGTTTGATTTTGTAAATAATTATATTAGGCTGGAAACTAAGTTTTGCAACTGGTTTCGTAACTTCACTCTCACTCAACATGGCGCACTCAAACTTTGGCATTATGTAGAATCCAATGTGAGCTACAAGTAAGTACAAATTGCATAATTTTTGAACTCGAGATAGAAAAGTTTCAGGTGTTTTTCGAAAACTAGTGAAATTTGAGAATTTTTGGGAATCAAGCTAAAATGAAGCCTTTGGCAGCCTAGACCATGCGCAGTAATCCGGGTTCGTCTAAAGGTTATTGCTGGAGGTTGACCCCTTTGGTCTATTAAGAAAGAAACAAAATTTAGGGGCATGTCGAGATTTGGCGTCCTCATAAAGTCGAACGAGTTGGTGTACGCAAGAGCTGCTAGGGACGACCGTCAATGACTAAAGAGTCCGAAGCTCAAATTCCGCCGAGACTTTACATAGTAAAGTTATTTGACCTGCCAAACGCGGACATCACATCTGTTGAATTAACGCCTTTTTCCTTGTTTAGGGTAAGACCCCATATCGTGTACCTACACTAATCCTACAAAAAAGCCCTTATAACGCAATTTCACTATCGTTTTCGTGATCAGCATATCGGATAACCCCCCTATGCCAAGTTTCAGCCAAATCCGTCAAACTTTGAATTTTTCCCCTTCATACCATACACCTACTGTAACCCTCACTGCGACGTCAGAATTTGGTAGGACAGCAGCTGCGCTTGTAGCTTACGTAATAACCAACGCGGTGGCAAAATTTGAGTGCGCCATGTTGAGTGAGAGGGAAGTTATGAGACCAGTTGCAAAACTTAGTTTCCAACCTAATAATAATTTTCAAATTTTTTTAAATTCAAATTAGCCTTGTAAAAAAATTTTT